TGTGCTACCTTTGTTAAATAAAATAGAACAAAATTTAAATAATTTTATTTTGTGAATTTGATCTGTTTTAATAATTGATTACTATTCAAATTTAATTGTATCTTATTTCCATAAAAGCTTTGATAGAATTAAACATCAATTTTCCATTTATATTTATATTGATAAATAAATCCTATAAAAGTCAACACAAATTTTGTTTAAATTTATACTATTTGATGATAATTTGGCTAATTACATAAAAATAATGTTAGAAATTTTATAACAATCTCATATTATTTTCAATACAATATATTTATTATATTATAGATTTATTTTTAGTGAAATGCATCATTGTTTTTCCATATTGGAATCATTTCACTCTCTTTATTTTATAACAAGTGAGTTATTTGAGAGTTTATGGTAATTTGAATTACACAAATTTGTGAGTTTTGTTTTCAATTTAGATCATTCTTTTTGATAAATATATATCAAAGATGATGTTTAACATTATTATTTGATATATTAATAAATATGTATAGTGAATACAAACATTAAATACTTTTGTATATTTACTTGTGGAATTTTCATTCCAAAATTAATTATTATCGTAAATATATCAAATAAATGAATTGAAAATCTTAATAAAATGATCAATTATGAATATTAACTATGATTCGAAAAGATTATGATTTAGCATTACTTATCAAATTATCAAATTATTATTTAAAAATTAGATAGATTCTTATTTAGAGGAAAGATTGGAAGTGTATAACACATTGAGAGCATTACACGAGATCAACTGAGATACAGCGTATGATATGTAGTGTTCATCAGTCAACCTTCACTTGTTTTTCAATCTCAATCCCTGTGACCTGAAACTACAAATTAAAAAAGCTCTTAAGGATGCCGATAAGAACTTCTTGCAAGATACATGATTGTGTAGTTTTGCAGAATGCCCTGGCTCGGCCCGCGAGAGATCTAAACAGAAGAAATCGGATCGTGGCTAATAACGATGTCTCCTCTGTTGTGAAGCACTTAGGCGTTTGTGACTTTCGAGATTTACTGACAACCGTGAAGAAAAGACGTTACATGCTTGTAGGAAGTCTAAATTTCTACCGTCAACATTTGAACCTTCTGTGACTAGAATCGATGATCATCGTGTTCTATTCAGATGGTCATCCAGATCAATGCCTCTATTTCCAGTTGCGTGACAGAGTTCTGGACAGATTCGCAGAAGCATCTTCCTAGAGCAGCTCTGATCAGCCATTCTATGTCCAACGAGTAGTGGGACTAAACCATTTAGCTTCGACTCGAAGAGTAGTTAGTGGTGAGTAGTGCAGAAGGAGGCATCCTTCGATGAATTCCTGATCGGTGCACGAGTCTAGACTTCAAGTACGTGAGGAGGTGTGATCAGTACTCGTCCCGGGTGTCTTATGTCCATCAAGCGTTCTTCTGAGTTAGAAGCTCTGATGAAGTGAATCGCCATGTAGACCTGAAATCAAGTGACTCTGCTTACGACGTATATCAAGATGTAGCGTACAATTCTGCTTTGGGTAAGCTTCTCTGATACTCTTGCCACAACGTTTCCACATCCCTTTTCGTGATCTGCAAGAAGAAATCGTTTGTCCATGAGGATGTCTGGCCCATCTTGTGATTTAGACGATTCACAAACGACCTGATCTGAGTCTTGTCAATCCAGTCGAAGAAGAACGCAGTGGTAGTGTAACCATCATACCACTTGCCTCCTCGTTGTCTTTTCCACGACTCGTAGCCAGCCCTTAGTCTAATGAAGTCTGCGATGCCTTCAACTACACCTCTTAAATAAACATCGTGGAGGTTATCACGGTCAGTATTCTGAAACACGTGTGTCATCTCGTGGTACATAATTCCCGTGATCTCCCTTTTCCAGACGTACCAGTTTCTGGGCGAGAATTGAGCAATATATCTTGCAGATAAATGAATGTCTGAACCTCTTGTGAAAGCAACTCCGTCCACATCTTCGACAAAGACCGTGATATGGTCAACACGTCTTGACTTATCTAAGCTGAAAGCTTCCACTATGAATGCTCTTGCGTTTTCAAGTGCATAAAGTAGAGCTCGATTTCCCAGCTCCTCTTGCAGTCGCTGCCCTCCTGGCGTATTCAAAGCTTTGTTCTCGATGCTGTAAGTGGTCCCGGACACCTGAAAGTTGATGCTTAACAAACAGAAAACAACCAAGATGCATATGATCGCTGCTTGCATGTAAGGCCTTGCTTCCATTCCCACCCCTGGCAGTTCTTCTGTTTTCTGTTTTCTCTTCTCCTAGTTGTACTGGAGTTTTTCCTCACTTCAGACCTTCAAATCTGCTTCTACGTTTCCTCCACTGCGGCATACTCAAGTGAGCATCATAAGCATCATGCACTCCTTCTCTTATCAATTTTTCTCGAAGGAAATTCTAGCACACAGATATTGAATATGTCGTCAGTTTGCTGTACTAAATACGAACACTCTGTTTGCAAGCAGCAGTTTGCACGGTGTTGGAGAGAAATGTCGACTTCAAGCAATGTATATAGAAGACAGAAAAATTGATTTGCATCTTTCTTTTATTTGTCGAGAGGTCTTCAAGTTGAATCACTGCCAGTGTATGATTCTCGCCAATAATCAGGAGGTCATGTTACTGGTTATTATGCAATCTCCGAATCTTTACTGACGCTACTCGGAGCAGTGCCAGGGAATCTTCGTTGTTGTCCTCTGCTCCTACTTGACTTAGGTTGATACGAAATGAGAGACAAGAAGCTGAGCTCCATTCGCAGACTTGTCGGCAGATTCGAGCCGAATATATGTCATGGCGAGCTCACTGTTCGTTGATGGCCCACCAACTTTTCTGGAGGCTCAAGAGACTTGTAAATGCTTCCGCAGCGTAGGCATGATCATTTGGAAATCAGTACTGAGGTCAACAGCCTTTCAAAATGTACAAGGCCAAGTTAACACGTATCAGTAACAAAAGCACCTACTTCTCATTCGTACTCACAATGCATGACCTTTCTGTGACTTGTATCGAAGAGGCTTTATGTCTCTTTTCCTCGACGTTAAGTTCAAATGAGTAAGTTGGATTCTCATTTGTTACTCCCAAACCAGTGGTCGCATTATATACTAAGACATTTACTGATCACCGCCAAACGTGGAAGCGTGCACTGTAGGACACCCATGTTCCTCCATGGAAGAATTGGCAGTTTAAATCCTATTGCATCACTAAACTTCCGCTTGTTTCAGAAGTGTGGAGCAGAGGTTGCAGAAAAGTTCTGAAAGTACCAGGCTCCATATCTCCCTTATTGTATTCCCGTAGGCAAAAGCCATCGATGATGCCATAGTTGTCCATAGACGTGCATAGTTACAGGACGACTAGCTTCCGAATATATGTGTGAGTCAATGGAACGTAATGCCTCCTTCACTTCCATACCAGGTGACTAGTCTACTGAGTTTGTCTGTTTGACTCGTTTTAGCTCATCTGCTGTATGTTTTGTTTTAAAAAATGTTTTTTCTTTAAATGTTGTTTTAAAGGTTCTTTTTTTGGTTCGCGCCTTCCCATTGAACAAGCCCCACAATTGAGCACTACCTTCGTTGGTCGCGGACATGTCGATTCAGATAAGTTATTTCGCCTTCTCGAACCGAACTAATTATAATATTCGAACAGACAGAAAACACGTCAGCCTTGTCGTGAGACTGGACCTCCATACTGTTGTTAACTCACGCGCCATCGTGCTGCAGTCAATTTCCTCACTCGGGACTGGTGCATCGAGGAGGAGCTCTACACGCAGTTGGGTATAAGAGAAGAAGCATGTTGATAAAAAGAAAGTATGAATCGTATGAACGTGATTGCAAATTTCAAAAAATTGATAGACTCATGAATCAATTTATTGTCAAAAAAAAATATAAAAAAATTCGGAAGAAGATATGTACAATTCAGACTCTCAAATCGTGAATCACAATAAAAAAATAGAATATATTTTATTGACACGAATAAAACTAATATTATGTGTACAATAATTGAAAAAAGATATTTCTTTTATCATGTATTAAGTAAATATCTATTTCAAATGTAAAATTATTCAACTAAAAATATAATAATATAGAATTACATATACACACATCTCTAAAAACAAATTCTCCTAATTCGAAGATTAACAAAACTTGATTCATTAAAACATGATGTTTTTGCTTGTTATCAATCATGTTATTGATTTTTTTTTTAATATTTTTTTCAAGTTTTGACTTTAACTTAAGTCGAAGTAATGATGTTAATCGGAACAATTTTTGTATTTGTTCCGATTTATTTATGTAGTTCATTTCTCAAAAATTTGTTTATACAGTTCTTCTTTTCATCAACTGTCAACTGTATTGGAAATAATTACATGCGGTTTCGACAAAGTTGACATGATAAATTTCTAAAAGTTATTTTTTAAATGATATTGAACAAAAATGAGTTTTTAATGCTTCTTATCGACATGTACTTATGCTTATCATGCTTCATATCTCAAAACCCTCAAATTCGCGATATGAAGTAGATTCTAAGAAACTCAAGAGATTCAACCTCTCGAGAATATCTCGAACGCGGAATAAATGATTTCAAGGTCTACGGTCGTCTTCTGAGTGTTCTTTCATTGTGGCCCTCATCTACAAAATGCTCGAGGAGGACTGCAACATGCGGCGGAAGATCATTCAGGCAACCCCGCCGATGTTCTTTCAGAATATTGCATAATCTGGCTCTACTGATCGTGAATAATTGTTGCAAGGAACAATTATACATCGCAGTAAAAGTCACATATGAGGCATGTGAAGAGGCAAATATATGCATAAGTAGTTACGAGCTGTCAATTCATTAAGAAGTAACATTTTTCAAGTAGTCTATGCGCGATTGTCGGCTAAGTGGACAGGTATCACATCAGAGAGCTTTCGAAGGAGGATTTCATTTATCTTTTCATGAACAATCGACAAAAGAAAAACTACACACAGAAGTGGAAATGTACTTTGTTCAGTTTTCGGCACGGTGTGTTCAACAAAGTAGGCTGCTATTTTTCTTCGGTTCAATACCCATCCTGTGCATTGAAAGATAGCCAAATTTATTCCCTTAGGTGCCCGGAAATAAGCCAAGTCTCGGAGTAACTGGACAGTCACCCTCCACACACCACTAAGTATGTGATTGTATAATGTTGAGCACACTGAAACTCCTAGATATGAATGACAGACCCGTAACTCCGTTCTCTGATATTATGGTACTCTAAGTTTATTTTTTCTCCAATTAAATGCTTGTTTACACTGACCACCTTTGGTTAAAATGACAAGCGAGGTAAATGAACTCACAACTGACAGAATTGCTGGACGCAAAATGAACTGATCTAGACGGGTAAAAAGGGTCTACAAGAACCCAATGTGCCTATCTACGCGAGTTCCATACTATCCAACCTCAAAAATGATCCGAGTACTATCAGGACAAAACTTGTCCACTCTCGCCACCTTCAAGACCATCCTGGGTGTTTTGATGCTGTATTTCATACTCACTACACTTCAGAAACGTACCCAGTTGGTTTGTACCATTGAGAGAAGTCAAACCCATCATTTATGAGCTTCTCCGTAGGTGGGGATATTCTGTCGAGAAGCTGCAATTTCAACAAAGTTACGAGCCAGATTCGTCACAGGATTCCGTAACTTCGTGTAAACATTTTCCATGGCATTGAACCCGTATATATTCACTTCAGCGATCACCAGCTGACCTTCTAAGTGAGCTAACTGGGCTGCAGTCAGTAGGAACTTCCTGATTGTTTTAATGCTATGGATGGGAATCAAGCGACAAGCAAAACGTAACAACGACTTGACATGACGTACCTTTTCGTGCAGAATGCCGTTGGATACAAGCACTGATCGATCGAACACGCAGAAGTCGCCACCATCCATGCGAGTAACTTTGCCTCCAGCCTCTTCGACAATCTAGTTCAGCACATGGCGAATTTCCAAACTTTCAAAACCTAGAGATGTCAAAAAAACGGTCGAATACATAACAACATACTGTACTATTTTTATAAGAAAACAAGATCCAACAGATAAACGAAACATTGAAGTCCTACTGATGAGTACAGACCAGCACTGCTGCTGCCATATCCCAAGGCTTCAATCGATACTCCCAGAAACCTTCGACAATCCCTAAAGCAACGTGACACATGTCAACCGCGGCTGCTCCAAGTCTCCTCACGCCCTGATAGAACAAATATGTGACGAGCAAATTAAGGGAAGTGAGTATAAGGCAATATATTTATTTATTTATTTATTGTTTTATATTTTCGAGGTATTGTGCTTCTAATCCATTTTCAAAACGAGGTGAGGGTCCTACCCTGCTAACATCTGTAAATTCTTTGAACAGATCGATGTTTGTGGCCCAAGCTTCGTCATGCTCATATCCAAACCCAGTGACAAATAAAGCCCGTTCGACCTGTCATATGCGCATACAAAGTTATATCATATTCCTGATCGAATAGAATGTCACAGGAAGAGCAAATATGCAGGTGAGCAAGAACAAACATATCCACCTTTATACAAATTCATACGACAAACACAAGGCTTGCGCAACATATGAGAAACTGTGTGTTCCAACTAAGTTACCAAACAAGAAAGGATTCGATTGAGCCTATACTCTTTGTGAAAACCTTCATGTTACCTCATCTTTGTTGCTGACATGTATTTGATTTCCATTGCAGAACGCTCCGCCTCCTAAACAGAGTTTACAACCAAGTGGTTGCTGAGGCATCAGATAAATATTCCATACGTCCGAATGATGACCACATTCTTGTCACCTGTACTTGCACAGAAGATGCTGGTTGGGCTGAAATTGGAGGTAAGAGGAATGTGACAGGAAAAAGCGGGTGCCACACATTCATCTAGAATGGAGAGAGAAGTTTCGAGAAAGCAATTTCTTCAATTTTTATAACCTGAACTTAAATAGGGGAGCCCAATGCCAGGAAAAGTGAGGTTTACCTGCAGAAGCTATGTAAGTGCGGGTGTCCCAGCAAAATGGACCACCTACAAACTCTACCTGCATTAATGATGTGGAAGAACATTAAAATTGGCATCCAAGATAAAGGGTTCAACTTGCCTCGCTAAAACGAAAAGATATTACCGTCAGCTTCTACGTCAAGGCATCGTTTGACTCTATCATACATATGGCCATTGGCTATTTTATGCGCCTCACCACTGAAGCAGCAATCGGCTTTCCCCGAAGTAAAATAGCTATGGAGACCGCAAAACTAGGATAGCTGTGAGCAAAGTTGGTTGTACCATCTGCAATTACAGCAAGAATTTAGGAATTAGACACCGTGGAAGGTTCATGACTGGTATCTGCTTTCAAAATCTAGACTTCGCACTAATGTAAAAGTTTGGATGATGGGAATACCAAGTGGGTCTATGCACCACAAGTAATCGGAGGACTCATCTCCACTGACTCCTCCTTCTTCACCCAAAATTAGATGATCTGGGAAATACTTCCTGACCACCTCCAAGATTGCCAGCTCACTCCGTCCATCTGTGCTGTTATGCAAAACACACTTTGAATCATAATCACACTTATCAAATCCTACGGTTATCAATCTGATGTGGAAGCAGCGACTTCAATCGATGTTATACTGCGTAGGCACAATCCCATATTCGTCTCTAATCTTTCGAAATCAAACATTTGATAACAAGAGCTACAGAGGATCGTGCCAGAAAGGGCTCAGGAGTTTGCATCTTGGTACTCTGTTACAAGGTCCGTTGCTCCTTTGTAATCAACGCTCCTTGGCTTGTCGACGGCAGCCATTACCACCTGCATTGCCCATCCAAAGATTCAACACAAATGGCGCGCACTCGCCTTGCTCATAAAATTTGTAATCTCAAAGCCAAACCGAGAAGAATTTAACGCGTAATGATGACCGCAATTAATAGTATCGCGAACTGACTGAGCCCTCTTCTAAGGAATGCTCAAATTCTTCTCGCTCTTTTGATACGTCCGGTTTAATTTCCGCAAAGTAGCTGTATAAACAAACTCCTGACGGATCGGAACGACAGAGTTTCCCCATTCACTAAAAATACTTTGAGTTTTCTACCAAAAAGACAAGCACTCAATGCGACCGATGACAATTCTGGCTAACACAGAGGTCGGGCACACATGGAGGGTAACTGGCCTCTCTTCCTTTGGCGCTGGCCTCTTCCAGGCATTGAAGTAAATCCTTCATAGGCACATCCTCCCGGTTAGTTGCCCCCACACGGTAGTCATCGAGAGACTGTGAGACAGAAGCTCGAATTCTCGACATTCGCACTGCATTCTCTCTATGATGTCTGCCGACAAATTTCAAACTCGCGCCACCGAAGGATCCACAACTCCGGGCTGGAACCACCCGGGAAACGTCACTGCCACAACTTCGTCGACTCGCACAACGTGTTTCAGACGAGGACAGACGACAAAGATTCAAGCTCGAACCCACTGCAATCGCCATTGCGACTATAAATGAGAATTCCCTGGACTGAGTTCCAGCAGTGGATGATTTCGGCTCACTGTTACTTCCCCTGCTTCAAGACGGGAGATTATGTAGGCACGCGCAGCGGGCCTCGTCTAGTTCCTGCGATTGGCCTCAGCTCCATCTCCTGTCTTGAATACAGAACCACAAGAGGTTTTGGATATCACTTTCAGCCCTCTGACCCGAAGAAGTGCCGGATGCTTCCATAATTGTCTTCCGGCCCCGAGAATTATGGTAAAATTTTCATCAAATTTGTTCTTGTACGAGAGCCTTCACGCAAAGACTGCTGCACTGATTGCTTGAGTTGGTATATTTTCGTCGTACAAATTCAACCACGCTTTGATTTTTTTCCCGATGTTATAGAATGTTCACTGATGGTTTGTAATAGTTGGCGGTCATGCTCCTTCAATTGTCAACATTATTAGTGAAGAACTGATCCAATCATACGCAGATATTTTCATTGGATTTTTTTATTTGTGGATTAGTTATAAGGTGGAAGTGACTATTCGAAGAAGAGTAGAACCTACCCACACTATAGGGATACTGACTCATATTGTTAGTTTACTTGATTTTATTACTACTTCATGAGTTTTAGATCTTCTCAATTATCATATGTGTTAAAACATACAAAATGCAAAAACTATTGAATTCTTTTGAATCTCACATAATTACAACAAGAAGAATAAAATAAAATTTAAAGATTTGCATGGCATATCACTAATTCATTACATTGTTATGCAGTGAATTAGTAGTATATAAAATGTTTATATTTATTAAATGTGTGCAAATCTATCAACAATTGATATGTAAATTGAAAGATGAAAAAGTGTAATAGTTGGAAGTTGTGATAGGTTATGTTCGTTATCATGTGAATAGTCTGATAGGATAAACAAATATTATTGTAAATCGTCCAATATATCTTTGAAAATCATTTTCTTTTTTACTTATCAATGTCATTTTCATTTCAAAATAGACATTTGAGATAAATGATTCATGAGAAAAAAGGAGAAATATTTTTACTATAAACTTACGCAATATCACAAAAGAATATTATGAATATTTTAAATCAAGTGAGATCAAAGTTTCATTCTATACAAAAATGTAATTTTGAGTTCAATTTGGCATGTGAAAATGATATTTGCTACAACAAATGACAATCAACAACATCCTAAAGACTTTCATAACTTACAAAATCATTTAAGACGTATCAATTATAAAATAAATTAATTTTTAAATGTTAAAAATGTGTATTTGGATTTTTATAATGAATTTTTTAAAAAATCATATTCAATCACATATAACAAATTTTAAAATTATTGACCTTTATGGAATTATGTTTAATAAATGTTTCTAAAAATAATTTAAAATTAATTTAAAATTAATTCCCTATTTATATAATTAATTAAATTAATTATATATTAGATAAAAAACCAAAAAATAATTTGAGTGAATATCCAAAATTTAGCATTATTATAAAGATAATTAAAAGTATGATTATACTCAATTATTTTAATAAATTACTTCAAAAATGTAGATAGATTTGATATATTACAGCATATATTATAAATAATCATCGAAAATATATTTTCATATATAGAAATAGTTTAGATATAATTTAAAGATATTAATTTTAAATAAAAAACTTGATCTAACATGGAGATGAATATTGTCAATATCTTTAACATCATCTCACAAAAAATCATTTTGTGGACACTCAATGTTTATTTATGATTGATTGAATACAGTCTTGAATACTTCTCTCCATAAATATGTCTTTGTACATACAATATTCATTGTTTTACCGTTTGGTGTTAGTGATTCACATAAATATATTTGTAAGTACGTATGTTTGTTTTGACATGATTCGATATAGAGTTGTAATGTTTATTGCTTTGGTCATATGGTGTATTTCATATTTTACAGGATGATACAAATTGTGTGCTTCATTCACCTCATTTTACATGATCTTGAACAATCCACTATGAATTTTAATTTTGTGCATACAAAATGATTCTTGTAGACACCTAATTAAGCTAATTTTTAAAATCTACTTATGTATGCTAATTTAAGCAACATGTTTACATTGTCTAATCAAGAGCAGCTAGAGGTATATACAGGATAGCAAACACTGTACTTGATCTGGCATCATATGCTTTCCTTAGTTGTATGAGTTGTTAATCTTGATGGATCATAATGGAAAATAACTCTCTTCTTACTTATAATTTATAAGTAAGAAGAGAATTATTTTTCATTTTTATAGTATTGGTATACATCCCATAAATTATTTTTTCTCTGCTTGTACCCATCGTAGCAAAATGGAAACATATGTTTGTCTGCCTAACTAAGATCACCTGGAAGGTTGGTGCGCTTGGATGCTCCAAACACGAAGAGCTGACAATTGGAAGATACATTACAATTGTTCTCACGAATTAAACTTGTTCGGCGGTTTCCTTCTATTCGATTTGTTGGCTTTTTGTCTTTGTGGCGTTTTTTCTTCGCTGTGTTGTTTCCATTTCGGCACTTGTGTGCTCTTGGCTCTCTAGGCTCAAAACTCGTTCTGATTGGTTCTTTTTAAGGAGGCACATATCCCTCACCTCGGCTCATAACACCTCACAAGAACCACAAGAGGTTCTCACCATAGTAGACAGATTGCTTCGGACAAACACAACAGTAGGGTCTATTCCTAGTAACAATTCGAAGTAGCTGGTGGTATGTCTGTAGAGAGGCAGACAGAACGATTTTATGTGTAGATTCGTCGAGAACGATAAAGGTTTTGTTAGGGTTTTTCTAATCAATAAGCGAGTGTTCATCGGAGTGTGAGGTGGGCTGAAGTCGTGGAAGTATTTGGTCGTGTCAGATCGATCGCAGAGTTCCTTCGTTGAGAATTTGTCGCAGCAGGTTGTTTGATCGAGTGCGTCGAAAGCCATGTCGACGAGCCAACCTCCGATCGGAGAGGGCGAATTTGTGGTCCAGAGGAAGGTAAATCCGTCCTTCTGGTCGAGATTGGCGAAGCAAAAGCAGGGACTCGGACTCATGGCCCTGTCTGCGTCCTGCGGTTTCCTCGCTTTGAGCATCTTGAAGCAAGAAAAGGAGCTGACTCGGGTCAATGAGATGGCTTCTCAATTGAGGTTGCAGAATGACGCGTTGAAGGAAAGGCTGCAGAATGTGAAATTGGCTGTGGAGGAGGAAGGGGTTGCCGGTCAAGGACTTGAAATGCGGCTGAAGGACATCTTGAAAATCAATGCATCCTCTGCTGCTGACCAGACAATTCCTCTGCCGGAGGATCCTAAGGCTGAAATGAGGAAAGCTATCAAGGCGAAATTTATGGTGTGATCAGATTTGTCACAATCGAGGTCAGGCATGTACAGATTGCTGCCGTTGCAGTTACATCGTTTAAGTTACATTCGGTTGTGTAGCAATCTCTTTGAATATACTCACGTTACCGTGATTTGAACGAAGGAGGATAGCGCTTTTCAAGTAAGAGATTGCTCTTTTTTTCAAGTTTGGTGACTCATATTATTTTTTCTTCAAACTGAAGATTTTTTCTTCGTCTTAGAAGATACTGATTAGGGCGTCTCACTTTAGCGTGTGGATAGCATGGCACCTTACTGCCTTCATAGAAATAGCATTTTTCGTGGAAGAGAGGCTGCTGTCAGTGGCAATTCTTTCATTCCACCTCACGAAGGTGGGGCGTGGAATTGGAACCGAATATGGTGCTCGGCTCATGTCCTGTTTTTAAAACTCACTCTGGTCTTATTGGACCCCCTTTTTCAGATGGCACATCGGATCAATGTAGTTTGATGTAGGAAAGGGAGATTCAAAGAAAGAATTTGGAGAATCCGATTTTGCTCTTTATTGAGAGATCAGCTCCATACCATCGTGTAAGCAATAATTATTTTTTCGATAGCATGTGAAGGAGAAGTGCCGTACTTAGTTCTGAGTTCATAATGATATGGGTGTTGCCCTTGTCAGAGCTAAAGCTTGATACCTAAACGTCTATCCCGCATGACCGTCTTACAAGATCAATTTTGAATTTGAGCAGTCTCAGGTTTTTTGACATGGGCGAAAATCCAGATGAGTGCTTATCTGCGGATTCTTAGTAACGTCAATGTGTTCTCATTGTCCATTAATGTCTTGTAAAATTCCCGAAAGCTTTTCAGGTAACCTGGCAGTTTCTCTTGAAGAGTAGATTCGACATCCATTCCTATCATCGTGAACATCTTTCCACGATGGTAATTTAGAGTCCGCCTGTGACGAGGAAACCTTTGAGCGGTGAATAACTTCCTATCTCTATGCACTTGTTTTTTTCAAGAGCAGCATATTTGTGTTCTTCGAGGCCTTTGGGAAGATAAAAATTGCATGCACCTGGGTTCGTTTCATTGTGCAATTCAAAATTCTCACATATCTTGAGAAGATGTCATGTCTCTTGGAGTGCAACATGCAGGTTTGAAATTCTGTCGTTTGCATGGTTACTGTTTGTTAGCGTTGTGACTTAAACTTTCTGTGGCTAGTAGGATTTTTTTTTTCCTTTGCATGGAACCTTTAGCAGAGTGTCTTCAATTAACTCAAGAGGCTCCTACAAGCAGAGCCAAATTAAGGTCTCTTTTAACCAGGTCTGCAGGGAGTTGGCAAGAGTAGAGTCCTTGGTAGGATAAAAGGAGTTGTCACCACTCTGCAGTTAATTGATAGGAAAAGCACCCAGCACTGCCAAAACAACATAGTACTTTTCTTGAATGTCTAATACTGAATGTTGTGACTGTCGCAATGTCAGTTGATTTCCATGCCTAAGTCAATTACAGAAGTATCCAGTTCAGTGTTTTTTCATATTCTACTTCTCCGGTAGACATCGAAATTGGATCTTCCACACGTTAATTCAACTTTGAATAGCGCAGGATCTTACCAACCCTTTAAGCTGTCCAAAGACTTCGTAACTTAACGTAGAGCAACAACTCGAAACTCATCTATGAAGATATATGACTCTCCGCATGTATTCTCTAATTGAAGATTTGAAGACGAAACACATGTTCTACTTGTTTCGTCCACACATGAATTACTTTTTCTTTGATACTGGATCCAAATTCAGCAAGTTTTTATGGAATAACCACGAATCACGCATTCATTATTGTAGAATATTGGATAATACTTGTGTATCCTTTAAGAGCGTTGTTGCTATAATTCCCGACTAATCTATGAACATGAAACCTTTTGATTTGTTGATGTTTCGTATAACCTTGAGACGATAAGGTATGCGGATTCAGTCTACGAATGTAACATTTTTAGAAATAGTACTTAGCATGATCATAAACTGGCACATGTGTATTAAATACATCATCATCTCCTGAGTATGTTGGAATATTTTACGAACTGATATCTATCAACTTGAATACAAAATTTAAAAATTAAAACAAAATATCAGTATGTACTATTGTGCAGTTTCAAAAAATCAGATATGCTTATCGCATTATTACTTATTTTCAGGATCTTCTGTGCTGAAAATTTACAATACTCTGCATTAAAATTTTGTTAAGAGTTTAATGTGTTATAAAATAATCTACAATCACCAATTGAATAATTGGTGATGAGAGCAGTTGTTACAGTTACAATGTGGCTAGAGACAAAAATAGTACTAGCCAAGAAAGCTTTTATCAAGGAAGACTAGCCCCACTAAACCCACTATGACTTTTGTTGTTGTTGTTGCATTCAAGGATAATATAAATTTCTAGATATATTTGGTAACAGTTTATTTCCTTGCACCTGAGATATATAAGTTCAAATATCAAATTATTTTTCCAGCTTTGATGAGGAAGATGTTAAAAGACAGTTGTGGAGATGTTCTTAGAGTGGCATATGTCACGTCATGACAACTTCATCTTTCAAGCAACTCTAAAATTTTAGGGTGGAAAAGAATTAATTTTAGCTCTAAATAAATGACGATGCACTAAGTCGAAACTTTATATAGTCTGTAGTATGTTAGCAAATAATATAACAAACAAATGGAATGATCACCTCGAGTAATACAAGGATGACATCAAGAGGTATTTTAATATATCTATATATATTTTGGATAGTGCAATTCCGTGATAGCATCAAGCATCTAAGATTAGCAAACAATCTAGTTAAAACTCACAATAAGCTATTATAAAATTGGAATGATACGATGTGATGAACTATCTAATAGATACTACCGTAAACTAATGAAGATCAAGAACAAATTAAAAAAGAATGATATCCTATGTCATAAAGTATGATAAGATGACGATCATAATAAGGTATGTTGAAATCAAGTTATAATCATAAATCTCCAAGGTAATACAATGTTTAACTCTCTACATATCATATACTTACAATGTCTTGGCGGTTAATTTTGCTTCACTTGCCATATATCAGAGAGTATGATTGATCATCCATTGGTAACAATGTGATGTGTAGTTTTTTTTAGCATACGTTACTATTAGAGTCATCTTACGAGGATGAAATTTTTTCATATAATACCTTATTTATAACATTAAAGTGATGAGGATAGTGTGTGTGGGTAAATTGATGTTGTACTATGTTAATTCTATCCACAACAAGAAAGTATTGACGGAATAAGTGTGAAGGTGATACATGTCCAATCTCAAGCTTTTCGACGAAGAACTTGGGATCGGCAGTGAGGTGGACGGTGATCCATCGTAATCACCAAGTAAATTTCCGGTAAAGTACGATGGATTGGCATCGGGGAACGGATCCAGTTCTTGGGTTGGTCATCAACGTATCCGATTCATAAACAAGCCTCCGCTATTAATCAAGAATCAAAACTTACATGTATCGGCTGGAACTTCAAGGGTATAGTAGAGTGAGAAATAATTAGCCTAAACGGAGAGATAACAAAACGATATCTTCATGTTTAATACACAAAACTTTATCTTGCCATTATTGCTTGTGTATCCACTTACATACTTTGCAATATTCATTGTTCACTTCAACACCAAAAACTTTTGATGTTCATTTCAAGATGCACATCTTTAATCAAGTAATTATCAAATTGTATTTGTTAAGATTACATTTGGCAATAAATTTTTCAGAAATTCATATGGAATCTTGAGCTTGTCATTTGATTGATGAATGAGATAAAAATTGTGTTGTAATGTTTTTTTTTAATATAACACTCTTGTCATCATTTTTATTGTTTTGGTTTCTTGTTGTGGATAGAATTAACATAGTACAACATCAATTTACTCACACACACACTTTCGTCAAAAGTGGAGGTGATCCATGTCCAATGGATCATGTTGGGAGCTTTGGGATGTGTGACCCCCAAGCTTGTCCAAGAATGGAGTGAAGTTCGGCAAGAAAGTTTGGTTCAAGTTTGGATTGCATATCTTTCTTGGAGGAGGTCTGGACTACCTCGGCAACTTTGGTATCGTCCATACCCAAAACATTTTGGCCATCTAGGCCTGGCAGTTCGTGCTTATGGAAGCCATCGAGGGAGATAGAGTGGCAGGAGTGTCCATGGGAGAGGTGAGCGACCCAATCTACCTTGAATGTCAATTCGACCCCCTGAACTTGGCTAAGACCTCCGACACCTTCGTGCTGAGCTGAAGAACAAAAGACTAGCAAAGTTCTCCATGTTTGGATCTTCGTTCAGGTTTTTATCACCCGTATTGGCTCAATCGAGAACTTGTACGACCATTTGGCTAGCTTGTGTAACACTAGGGTTTAGAGAAAAGTTTACTCAAAGATAGACACGTAAACTCTGAAGATGAGAGATATCAACAATGGTTATTCTCTCCGTTATATAACTCTTACCAACAAATACAACGAGATAAAATCTCATCCCCACCATCCAATCCAATCATAGTAGATTGATGACATGAAGTATATATCTAATGAGTACACAATATTATCTATCGTTCCCAATTAACACACTAATTAGCACACGGATTGCTTACGTGGCATTGTAAATATTCCAGTATCATTTACTCCATTCAATCTTGAATATACTATATTTTAATTCTAACTAACTAAAGATGGTTATAACTTGACTAATTATCTCTCATACTAGTATAGTAGGATGAGAAATAATTAGCCTAAACTGAGATGTAACTAGCTACTTCAAACATAAATATGATCTTTTAGAGTAGACTATTTACTTCATCTTAGTAGTGAGAGACAAACTCATCATATAGTGATGACATTACAACAATTTGTAATCTAGAAATGTCAATGTCATTCATCATGTTGGAAGTTATTGATTAATAAATGTAAATTAATTGATAAATTATAAATGTAACTTAACAATAAAACTTGAACATATAATTATTACTTTTAAGCTTAAAAAAGATAATTGTTAACCATGTCAATAACTAATTCATCAAATTATCTTATATAAATCACATAACACAATCTAGTTAACGTTGAAATCAAACTCATAATACTGCATAATTATTGTTTATCATGTGATGTTAGATTCTAGTGTTACATACCACAACTCAAATTACATTCACAATATTCAAAGTTCCAAAAGTGGAAATAATAACATTCAAGCAATATAATTGGATATAGTATTTGATATTGAAAGAGTAGGTAAGATTTATGTTACGTAGAGTGAGTTACAATGTATCAATATTCCTAATTTATACTACTAGTACACTATCAGGATTTTTTAGACTTGTCATCGCTTTCAAAGTTGGAAAAATTCAACAACTCCTTTGCACTATCACATCCATGACATCACCCCCTTCAAGCGTTACCACGAGTTGTTTTTATTTATCTTATCAAAAAACCAAAGAGCTATTACAAGAAGTCTATATAATACATATGATTAAAGATGGATTCGATGCTTGTATTGTTCTAGACGTGTTGGATTCAAATGTATTTGTCATTCAATTTTGTCGATTATTAATTATAAACTTTTTTGATCATTTTGGGATCGTTAGCAAGATTAGGAGCACGTTCTCAAGTTTGCTTGCTTCTTTCATATACTTTCCAATGTATAAGATATTCTAATCAATTGATGAGAGAATCAATGATAACAATACCGATATGGTAAATTTTCTATAAGATTTGGGAACGTTAGCAAGATTAGGAGCACGGTCTCAAGTTTGCTTGCTTATTTCATAGACTTTCCAATGTATAAGATATTCTAATCAATTGATGAGAGAATCAATGATAACAATACCAATATGGTAAATTTTCTATAAGATTCAACCAAGAAAATATGAAACATTGGATGAATTTTGATAAATGATGGAAGGTACAACTGATGTGCTACTTGCTTCACGTTACTCACGAACAAAAGTTACAAGATGACTATGGTCAAATTTATTGTTAGTTGACGAGTCTTCAAATTGAGACACAAACTCTAGACTTTATCTCCAACTCAGATGTTCAGATTTTGTTCTTGAGATAAGTCTGCATTTTTTTCTGTTGCTTTTGATCTTCTACAAGCTTTGACTTCATGTCTTTGTGTAGGCCCTGGTTGCCAGTTTTTGGTTAGCGGTTTCGTGTCGGGTAGCTTTATTTGACCATATCGCGTGTAGGGAATGGCTGGGGAGTGGCCTTCACTCCCCGCCCCCCTCCTTCGATGTGCAGTGGTCTTGGACCCCAAGACCCTGTTTAGTTCTCTAGAAATCTGGGTACCATAACTTGCGCACCCGGAATCTTTGTTCATTCAAAAGATTTCATACTAAGAGTATTGTTTACTCATTTCACGCTTTACACGAATTATAACCTCACAACAAGTGAAAAACTATTCATGTGATACGACGATTGTCTTGACTCTCCCGACCGCAAATATGATGATGGCATAACCATGAAAAAACATAGAAGCAAATCTTGGGCCAGTAGTTGTTGCTTTGGGTTTTGGCCAGTATTACTCGTGCTAATGGCAAGATTATGTGTTTCGAACTTGCCCTATATAAAACCAACTCCAAAAGAAAACCTTCGTCGGTTTTTGTTAGCTTATTTTGATGGATTGCTACGTAGCATTTTTGTTCCATGCGTCTGCTCGTTTTCATGACGTCAAGATACGCATCAAGGATCTCTGAACAGTTGAGGAGTATTCGCTTTCATCATGGCTGATGTTTCACACATTACTATGGTATCTTCTCGAGGGATACTGTCTCCACAATTATTCGTCGCCTTTACCTTTCACATGCGCTAATGAAAAATAACGCAGATAAACAGGATGGAAAGTACTGCGCGGGTTTCGAAATTTGATCTGTCAGCTGACGACATGGGCATCAGACTCGTGTAATCTGAATGTCACCCTGAATCTCTTGTGAGCAGGATCTCATGCTCCTGCCCGAAACTTGAGAACCTCCGGGTTGAACAGCGTTCTGTGCAGGTCTATATCTCTCCTTGTAATTATCCTGACGATTGGTGTTGTAGATTTCGATGCCAGGACCTTACGATGTTGAAGAAGTCAATCTCTATTATTACTGAGAGAGGGAGAGTTTACTGTTCGATGTCAAGCCGAAAGCCGATATCGACACAATTTGGCAGACATTGAAAGGACTCGTATCGACTACTGCATTTACCTCATGCGCAGAGAGATGAAGCGTCGACGTTCCTCATCTGTTCACTTCCGTCACGTCGAGAGAAAGACGTAATCACGACGGCAGTCATTCTCCAAGAAAGTGTTCGTAAACCTGAGTGCGTTGTATGGAGGATCAAGTAAGTTATTTTCAACCCAGAACCAGATGCGCAACACGACCGATTTCGGATAGAACAAGAACTTCCGACAACGATTCAACGTGTCCTTTTCGCGACCTCTCTCATCCCTCGGCGCCGAGATGGTCGTCTCCATTCTTTAATCGAAACACTGAGACGAGCTGGATTTCGTTCTACGTCTAGCAAGCGTTTCCCGATGATTTCGAAGGAGCCCCGAGGACCAAGTCATTCTGGAATGTCAAGCTTTTTTGACTTAAGGAGGAGCTATTAGAAGAATTTTCCAACTCGAGAAGTTCTTATTGGGAACATGGTTTCTTGGGAATTTTCTCTTAAGATTCAAACCCCTCGGTGGATAGGCACTATTTCGTTCGTCTCTGTCAATTGAGGCAGTTTCAGCAGAATCGTTTATCAATTATTTGTGTAAGAGAGTGCTCTCGTACAGAGCTCTTGTCTCAAGGGTACAATGAACTTCACGTTGCTCTTGTTGTGTAGCATCGAACGTTTTGTAATGAGCAGAAGTATTGACTAATGCGATCAATTTTTGAGTAGGATTCTCTACGCAAAATCTTGCAGTAGACACACAGTTTTAGAAGCAAGACGGAAGCATGGGGATTACCAGGTCTTCTGTAAGAGTAGCTATACTTGTCCGAGACATCTTCAGATGAAATACGGAAAGTTACTGATTTTGACGGCAACAGGAATGTTCATAAGCATGTATTTGTCAATTTAAATCAATGCCCGAAAGCGGCAAGAATTTTACATCTCCGGGATGATTATGATTCTGTACATTGCAGAGCTGTCCTGTCCTGTCATGAGAGGAGACCTAAGTGACTACATCCTCGTAACAGACACGTCGAAGTCAGCCTTGTATCTTACACAGGGAAATACATCATCACTCAAGTTTGTGACAGTCCGATGACAAATCCCCGCTTGCACTAATCTCAGATCGAAGTTAAGGCCTAAAAGGTCGCCTAAAGAGTCGCCTCTAATTATTTACATTTTGTCCTCTATGTAACAGGCTCTCGAGACTAACATTGTACACGGTTTCCAGTACGCAGGGAAGAAATAAGTGCTGCTTAAGCTTCGAGGTAAGAAAGATTCTACGTCTTTACACGGCTCAGAGGACTCCGTACCCATGTTGATGTATTTACAGCTTTTGCAGTAATAGTTGCACTCCAGACGATGGTTCCAAAACGATGCAGTGAATTGGACTGTGCTTGTAAGAAGGCGAGAGCTTGAATCTGAATTTCATCAGAAACAAGACGGTGATGAGCAGCACCTCGGCCATAGCTTGATTTTGGGCAACACAAATTCTCGGGCCAGCCCCAAAGGGAATATAAGCGTACGGGTGTGAACATGCATGCGAGATGCCTTTGGCAAAACGCTCGGGCTTGAATTCCTCTGCATCAGCTCCCCAGTACTCTGGATTCCGATGAACAGACAAAGGCTCAATCAGTATATCCAGAGATTTGGGAACGGGTTCCCCGAGCAGAGTAGCTCCATCCTTGACGACCTGCCGGATGATCTGAGGAACTGGAGGATATAGTCGCATGGTCTCGTAGACGAACTGATGAAGCTGAAACACACACGTCAAAATGAAGAGAATTGTGAGTTTTTAATCATCAGAAGATGTCGAAATCGATACGCGCCAAAACCCGATGTGGAAGTCGGAGGTACTGAAGATGAAGAAGCAGAAGAAGAACAAGGCTCTGAGTATCTGAAGCGGGACGAAAATGAGCGATTAGAAGACTTACGAGGTTGAACTTGTGCAGCTTCGTTCCTGCGTGGAGCTCGACGTCTTCATGACCCAGGACGTCGAACACTTCTTGGCGTATTCGGTCTTGCCATTCCGGATAATGAGCGAGCAGGACCAGCGTCCAGGCGATTGATACTTGCACGGTGTCATGACCCGCAAAAAAAAACGTCCGACACTGGTCGACCAATTGCTCATCTGTACACTTGGTGGTGTTCTTGGAGTTGGCATTGTGGGCCTCGCCGTCGGTTAAGATGACTCCCAACAAGTCATCGCCATATGACGTTCTCTGACCGGACTCGACCGACCTCCTCCTCTCTTGAATGATCTCGGTGAGGGTTTTTGTTACCAGCTCACGGGTTTTCCGGATCTCCTTGTTAATTTTGGTAGGAAGCCGCCTGCATTTCACAAATTGGTCCTGTCAGTACACTCCGGTGTGCTGCGATGCAGCTTATCATCGGCATGATCATGCCACGAGCTATCAGTCACTAGGACAAATAGGAAACTTGAGTTTCTGATCACAACTCGCACTGATGGTACAGCCAATTAGAAGAATTTCGTGCTGTGCCACAACTTCATACTCACTACAGGATTTAATCAGCAGGAACATGTACTGTTGATCGTGACATTTCCTACCAAGTTTTTGTATTCTGTCCATGTGGGCCCTGTACTGAGAGTAGCCGATTGAAATACGTAAAACAACAATAATCGTTCGAAAACCTGGGTATCCATCTCGTTGATTATTATGTGTGATTATGGTGGTCTCGGTTCAATACCAACTTAATTATGGACGCCAGATGTCGCAAAATCAGGCAAAATTTACTCGTAGACACGTTTGATATCTGAAAGATGAGATAGGCAAATGTAACAACCTTAAGAGAGCATTAGCTCCTCCATGGGCGAACTCTAAAACCTTCAGCTTTTGCTGGCCATCAAATCCCTTCCTGCCCTGCAGATAGTCACTGCCAAATGCGGCTCGAGAAAGAATATCTTTCGTCACCATCCCAATCTCCTGTACCATCTCGACTTCAGTCCAGGCTCCATTCTCTTCTACCTTCTTTGCCAGGCCGGCTAGCCAGGGTTTAGCAACCTCCATCATTATGCTGCCTGTTTCCTGTCACAGAACATCAAGATTCTCAATGGGGTGAATTCATGCTCGCTAGCAGAAGACGAGAATGGACAGATGACGATACAAGCATTATATCCAGCCACAGCACTTGCAGCAGGTGTCGAACAGCCCTTACTCTCTCACCTCCAGAAGCCCAGCTTATCTGATGCAGATCTAGGAATTCTAAGTCCGACTTGGTGCCCAAACTTAAGTAAAGCTATATGGATTTGTAAAATACCTTGACTTTGCCTGCGTAAAAGATGGGCCTGACAACCCGTCTTTGCCTGCTCCACTCATGAAAGTCCGTAACCAGAACCAAGCCTCCTCGTCCCAGAAGAGCATCAGAAGAACTCGTTTGACTTTTACCGAAGAATCCTGTCTTCGAGTTGACGAGGACCTCCCTGATAACTTCTGCTTCGGTGCCGGCCCACAACATGCACTGCGAAGCCTTTCGTGGAGAGCAGACAAACCTTCTACCTGCGCAGTTTGAGTGAAGGCAAATTGTCAGCTCGTCCGTAGCTCAATGATCACAACACAGGCTGTTCATCCGAATCAAAGTGCTTAGCAGGTCTACATTCTTGAGTTATAACTGCGTGCTGTTACTCTTCGTGAGGAAATCCGTGATTCAATTAGACATCTGCAGAAGAAAGTTGGACAATTCCAGTTTGTGCTATGCCTGTCTAGTGGCTTTCGACGGAGTTTGAATACGCGACTACACAATGAGAATGCAGTGACTTTGAGAAACTGCATTGCGTAGTCCAATGTCAGGAGTATGCTCGAAGTGATCAAACACGTACCGTATCGTCGCGACCACTCGAAATAGTGGGGGAGGACTCGGTGACGGATGTTGTGGTCAACGGTTCCAAAGATAGGCTTCAGAACTGTTCTCGAGTGCAGGAAAATTTCTGCGGCTTCGTCTCTGTTGTGCATTGTCCACGATAGAGGAGGGCCCCCGTATCCCCTTTGCCTCATTATGCGATGAAGCTTGTAAGGGTTCCACATCGTAACGCGGAGCAGGGCGACAAGATACGCCACCAAGTTGAGAAAGATTGCAGCAGACAGCGTCCAGAAGACGAGGGAGGACACCCCAGCCGCCATGTCCACGACAGAAGATGGGCTCCGGATGAGAAATTCGTGGGAACTGGTACGTGCTCTCAGATGTGAACAGGCAGTCCGAGGGCGGATGAATTTGCATTTGCCTCCAATGTGCAACCTATTTATGAGCGATGGGGTCCGGATCCGAACTGGGGTGCGCGTGTACAAATCAGGTCCCTGGTTTGTTTAACTAGATACACAAGGACCCGACGGTGTCTTGGTTTGGAGTCACTGTCGCAGTTCATACGAATTGAGGACATCTCTTATGCCATGGAGTCATGTCTCATGGATGCCCTCTATGTTTGGATCGAGCGTTAAATGGGCTGATTCCACTTAGGCCCAAACCGGGGAGAGCTAGCAAGCAGGGGTTTATGCTGAACCAACCACCTAATTACTGGCTGGTGACGAGTTTTCTGACCAGTGGTTTAAGTGATCAATCTCAAAGGGAAGGGGGGATCGTTTTCGTTCGAGTGCGACGTGTTTTGGGCACTTGACTGCAGAAGCTTTTTTTAGAATCTCAATCTCACAGTCGCCGAGAGGTGCAACAGTTGCAATTTGAATTGAGCTTTGTTTTCGATGGAGGCTATTTTAAATCACTGCCAGCGATAGGGAGGGAGCGAGCTAAGAGCTATGGCAGAAAAAGCGGGTGGGAATCTTTAGCAGACTTTGCGGGCTGAAAAGGTCCTGCGGAGTGTATTTTGAGATCTGTCTTCGGGCTATTTCCACCATGTCCAGTGCTCGAACGAGAGGTGCACATAATAACGGATGCCACCCGAATTCCGAGGAGCCGAAATCCATCGGTCGTTCCGAAGGCGAACACCAGAGTTGGCGAGATTCGCCCGCTCGCAGTAATCTCACCACGGAGACGAATGGAATGTACAATGTCGACGAGCCCGGAAACAGCCACGAGACTCGCCACGGCCACAGTACGTTTTGTTGGGCTAGGCTAGCCAATGGCAGAAGGAACCAAAACTCGGGACAATTTGGAGGATCGGGAGGTCGCTCGACGAAAGATTCGACGACAAAACGCTGGCGACGAGCTGGACGATCCCGAGTTCCCAACAGCACTACGTGCAGCAGTAGTATATTTCCAGCAGCATATTTTCGCACCCCGGACGTTTTACAGATCAGCCTGAATACGACACCTGTGGTCACCGACTCTCGATGCACGTGCTAAAGAGAGCTGATATTATTAGCCGGTCTCGACATTCCAAAGTACAGAAAACGTACCCTCTCCAAAGTAATGGGCGGTCACTGTGGTCCCAAAGTCCCTTTCACTCCGATCTCGAGAAGCAGGAACAAGACGGGAGATTCTCTCTCCACAGTCGCGTCGTCCAAATGCGTTCCTGGGTCCCTGCAACTTATGGACAGTACGTGTCCTGATGCTTGTTGTTACTGACTGCAGTAGTCAGAGCTTAGAGTTCTCTCCAATGTGGATGTGGATGTGTGTATATATACATTGAGTACATGTATATGTACAGCGGTGGCCGTAGTCATAGTGCGATCCTGTACTGTACTCGGTAGCATAAACATTCTGCAGCTGTAACGCTCCCATCCGTATCCTACATCCTGTCCTGCAGTGCGCTGATCGGGGTTGGGCGTTTATGACTGGATCAACACTACCAGGTGTGTATTCTGAGAAGCCCTGAGAAGCCCTGAGAAGCTTCGGATAATTTACTACCAGAGTGCAGTAAGTTAGCGGAGACAGCGTCACGTACGCCCACGACTGACGGAGGTTCAGGCACTGGCGAGGTCTGTAGCCTGGAGATGGCTTGAGCAAGTTCCAGCTATCTGGGAGAATCACGGGAGTAGCTTGTGGGCTTTCGCAGGGAAGGTGTCATATAACGTTACCTAGCGAGCCGAGGGAAAAGGCTACAGCAGCCAATGCCGAAGTATCTGTTGGAACAGATGAAGTCCCGTAATTTGAAAGATGCAGAGACCAGAGAGAGCAGCGCTGGTGCTCCTAACTGTCCACATTCTGGATAAAAGTCTACTCTAGCCTCAAGTGACGAAGTCCGAAGCAATTGTGGGAACCTGTGCTTGGATCGAGCAAGGAAATGACGACTTGTAAAGCACTGAAAGGCTATTTTCCACCTTCAGCTTTGGCTCTTTTGGAATTTCCAGATTTTGATGCACTTGGAATCAGCATCATTTCTCCGGATACAGCACTCGAGAGGTGAGATACACGGTCCCACTTTGTTTGTACAAATAAATCTCGAGAATATGTCAGTATTCGATTGTCAAGTTATTATCATCATGCAGGTTTTGTCTTAATATGAAAGTGACTCCACGATAGGTTTTGGGTGAGTAATATCATGCTCAGTCCTTTCGTCCTAATTCTCACATGGCATCTGCTGGTGCAAGGCCGAATCAGCAGTGCATGAGCGCATGCGCACGTACGTTGAGATAAATGCTTCTCGTGTCTCATATTGTCTCGGTTCTGAACTCATCGTGCGTGTGAAGTTGTTTTGTCCACTTCTAGTCATGGCATTCCTGCAACCAATATTGAGATTTATTCAGTTCCATGCAGGGCTTTGAATTTTTCCGAAGGTAGGTGACATTGTGATTGAGGAGAGTTATATTACGCTGAAACCTTGTGAATGTCATATGTCCAGTCTGTTGCCTTCACCACCACAGACGAATACTCCACTTTTCGCAAACCATGAGATAAATTGCATTCTAAGTTCTGCTCTTCAGAAGTCTTCCAGCTGAAGAAGTCTTCCAGCTGAAGAAGCCTCGGTTCCCAAGTTCAAGTGCAGCTTTGTTTAGGCGTAAACGGGTAGAGTTGGAGTTCGTGCTGCCGGCCACTTTTACCAGTAGCCAGATGTGGTCAACTTATCAAGCCTCTGTACCTACAAACATATCCTTTGACATATACCGCCTGAATAAAGTATAGATCGAAAGGAAATAAACAATCTGTCTAGAGTTTCTTTGAGTTTTGTATGCATGAAAAGTTGATTGGACGTTTATCATGAAGTACAAGTTTCGAACGCCGTCAAAGGAAAGAAATGGGACGTGCTCCAGAAGGAACATCTTGTTCTGAAATTCATGATGAAGTCTTGTTTGGTCACGTATAAAAGAGCAGCTCGTAAAGAAGCCAAGAGCACTTTTGTACCCCTGTTCAAGAACAAGGAAGGGAACGTACAACTTTTCTATCAATATTAAGATTCTTCTCTCTTTTTTCAAATAGATTTCATCACTTTTGGATATAGGAAAGTTGGGTTGAGTAAACAAAATACAACTGTTTCTTCAAAAGCTTAAAGTAGGAATATCTTGTGCATTGAAGTGCACCAAGTTTGAGGATGCATGTACAGTGCTAGTGATTTAAGCCTTGTGGAATTCGACTCACGAACAACATAGTCCTCGAAAGTGAGTCTTCATCGTGAAAATCATGTTTTAGAACCAAAGCTGCGCTGTCGGATGTAAACAGCCGTCTAAGGACCGAATCTGTCACATGGTGGTTTGACCTCCAGACTCTGCAGGTCAAATGTTGTGTCCAGAACACACCGGCCTTGCCTAGTGCCTGACCTCCAAGCCGGCAGAGCAAACGTGATCGAGCCAAAGGATTGAGCACAATAAATGTGGGTAGGCAAAAAGGATTACACATGAAGGTCTATGAAATCAATTGACAACGGACTATCCATCAGCTTTACAAAAAGTCAGAAATTGGAATCAGAGAAACTGTACAGAAATCGTAAACATGTATCCAGAAAATTTACTTGAATCGTAGCAACGTCAAAGTCTGATTGATGTGCAATGAGGAAGCCTAAAAGCGTACAATGACAAGAACGCACAGTGATAGCATTTGAGCTTCATGTCGTCTAGTCATCTGAGAACTTTCGCTCCGCAAATAAGGTTGAAGAGATCTTGTAGATTATGATCAATTAGTTCTGATTGCATTGCAAGAAATTTTTACACGCTGTCAAGTCAATGGACGTGGTGAACTTGTCCATAAGCAAAATGTTGCAAATATCAAGATGATGTAAAAGTCCTCCCTCGCAAAGTTCAGGATTCAGAATGTGATGGATGTGTACTGCCCTCATATGAATCAGCAACGTAGCTGGATTCTGTCGGCCTTGCGGATACGAACGAATACCTTCTGACAGACGACTAAAAGTCTTTTCAGACACGGTCAATTTTGTTCAATAACAACAGTGCATATATTCTACCGTGCATGCGGATTCTGTGGAATGTCCATCAATTTTGAAATTCAGATTATATTCTCTAACAAATTGGAGAAGGTACATTGTAATTTCCGACCTTTTGAAACTCGGAGAAATATCATGAGCAGTGAGCTTCCCTTGTGCAGGGATTGTGTCAAGAGTTTTGAATTACATACAATAGTCTTATGTCCTCAGACTGGAGTTGTTAGCATCTGTAGAAGAGAATAACTGTTGTAAATGTGTGTCTTGTGGATTGCGGCGGCGACGGTGATTTCTTAGTGCAGATTTTCATCTAAGTCGTGGTAGGACCTTCGACCGGAGCTCATTTGGAGCTTCATGTTCCGCCGTCACCAGCATGGAGTAGCCCCAAACACACGACAGCAACAGAAATTGCTGAATATAGTACATCGGAGCATATGATCGACGACGGGGAAAGATGCCTGCAGAGCGCGAATTTAAGACATAAAAAGTTCATGCACAACTTGTGCAGAGAGAAAAAATGAGGACCAATGTTTTTAATCTACTCGTGCATGCAGTTTCTATCAAGAGGTTTCTTAAAAAGTCTGAGTGCTTAGAGTTCAAAAAAGATATATCACGTTCAGGAAAAAAAAGTATAAGAGAAAGAAATAGAGGAATATGCCAACAGTGTTGAAGCAATGTACGGTTTCTTTTTCAGTTAGCAACCATACGCTTTTGATGCTGTGAGATTTGATTTTCGCATCAGATGTCAACGGTTGGGTGCTCACCGTGAGTTTAATGAATAATGTATACAGAGTTCGGTCGATGTTTTGGGAACCATGTACGGTCCAGGCGATTACCGTGCTCCTTTAGAATTGCCAATATGAGGTGATTCCAATTTTCAAAACAGTACTAGAATCAGGCTGGATACTTGAGTGGATATGGCTTGTTTGAGGCATGCTGAGTAAGAGAGGAAATAAGAACTTTCGTCGGTGGAGTATTTTGAAATGAACTTAGACCGATATGGATGCTTGTGGAGGATCTGCTGACTACCCTTAGTAAAGCATCAACTGGTTTTTTACTTGCACAGTCAACATAGACAGGGGGGATTTTATCAGAGGTTTAACCTCATGTTTTCTTCGATTAGAGCAAGGTTTTTTTTTACGCAATCCCGTGGACACTCTGAGGACTCTGTTCGTCTGTCGCTCCCTCAGTTACAATCCATATATTCAGTCCCTTTTCTGATTCCGTTATCTGATTACGTTATCAACTGGTATCATCACCCAGATGAAGGCCATGTCATAGCTTAACCTCGCGCGGAAGAGGATCGACTTTGGGTACTTGCCTTTGCCAGACGAGATACCAGCTTAAGGTACAGAAACGTTCAAAATACTTTCTCCTCAACTCGAGTTTCAGTAGTTTATTGAAGTGTGACAGGACATTTCCTTCTCTCGTGGTTGGCTTCGGCTAGCTGCTGAAATAATCGGATCTTCATTCTGATCAGACGAACTTCTAGATCCTCAAATCTCTACACTAGAGCCAAGCTAGAAACTATCTGGAATCACGGAATCCCGAGGTCGTGAAAGGTGCATAAGATATGGAACAAAGAATCTCCAAGACGATTGTTAGTAACTTCGTTCCAGGAACAACGCACTTCAAAGCTATGTGCTTAATGTATGTCACAATCCTCCAACTCTATAAATCGAATTAGAACTCCGGACATGCTGTGCACAGTTGCCTCCATCGATTTGTTCTTGACTCACTTCTCCAGCAGGCACATCTACCACTAACTGGCTACTGTAACATCCAAGTTCTTCGAGCGATGCAGAAGAACATCGCTCGACCCAAATGCAGTCAAACGAAGTCAGGAATCTTCACAACCTTTCGAGTGCAACGAGAACTCTGGTTGTTAACTTACTCGTCTGTGCTTGCGAGACATTTGGGACTTCGTTCCTTGGGAGTGAGATTTTATACTGTGTCAACCTTTAACAAAGTACCGATCTTAACCTTCGACGAATAGGGTTATTCTACTTCGAAAACCCCAGACAAACTTATCTTCACAAGATACCCCGTCACCAACAGTTCGGGTCACAAAGTCAGTACGGCATGCTCTATCTAGTCGCAATATATTATTACCTCTTAATAAGTGCTACCTTAAGGTGCTCTGTAATATTTTTGGATGGGTTACCTGCATATTGCAGCCTTTTCATAACTGCATCCTACCCGTTTCTCCCAAGTTGACTACAAACAACTTTTTAAGTGCATTTATTGGCATGTGCAAGAATTATTTAGGAACGTGTTCAAATGGCTAGCCCTGGTTAATCCTTGCAAGTGCAGCTCCAAACACCTTAAAGTTTGTAGAACCGCAGGTGCTAACTCCGTGAAAACGATGCAAGAAGTTTCCGATTAATGTAATCTCTCTTTAAGTGCAATGGAGACTACTCCCGAGATGTTGCACTATAAGAAAGTCGACTTGCAGCTGGAGAGAATCGACTGTACTGCGAAATGGGTATAGCGCCCCGAGGACTTTCATTCTGTACTATTACTGTACTCCTAAGGTCCTCTTCTTGCAGCTAGGATCCCCTGCAAGAAGAGGACCTTATGAGGAATAGTACAGAATGAAAGTCCTCGGGGCGCTATTCCCATTGCAAGAAGAGGACAAAGCTAAACGTTTTTGGGTTCAGGTCAAAGCTAAACCCAAGCAAGTTGCTCGGGTTTCCGTGAACAACCTGCTGTATCCTGTTCTCAGAATCCAACTGATGGGACTCCACTTGTACTGAAGATTTCTTGGAATAAGATAAACAAAACGCTTGTTGTATCTTATCCTACCATCCTGACCTTCGTTTCTAATACTGCACCTGAGGGAGTATTTCTAAATGATATCAAAATCCTGGTCTCCTTCCTCAATGTTGATCGGTTGCCCCGGCTTGGCTCGGCAGAAAGCTCTGCTGTATGACGCTATTTTATTATTTCTCCTTGCTGTGCTGTTGATCCCCTCGGGATAAGCCAGAATTCGGATACTACGCCTCTGTTCATTCTTCCGCTTTCTGCTTTGTCTTCTTCGGTTTCTGCTCCTTCTGTTGCAACCCCATCGATTTCTTCAACTTGAAGCATGCATTCGTGCTCTGTTCTGCTTTCATCCAAGGCAAGTCTTCATGGCAAAAACCGAAAACATTCTGTATCCGTTGACAGATGCTATGTCATGTGCTAGCCGCTGATTCTGGGATCCATCAGAGATTTCCATGTATGGTAGACAGTCGGCGTGCACCTCTGGGTTCGTCCAACATGTTTGCAGCTTTTGTCCTTGCCAGGGTCTTCCAGACTCCCTCGTTGAGGGATGTGCCCTGTTCACCGAGGATTACGACACCACATGTTAAGTGACAGCTCTTCAACTATTCTGGTCGATTCTTTCATGGTCAAAAGTGTCTGCTAGCCTGTCTGAAAGTCAGCTTAAGACTCGGACTTCCATGATCAGATGACTGCCTTGGATCCAAGCTAATGGATTATGACGCAAGTCTAAGCTATGGAATATTCTGCAGAGGATGCTTCAAAGCGCGTGGACGCAGTATCAGGACTCCGGTCTCCCGTAGGAATTACGAGCAAGCGCTGCGATAAAAGAACCAAATCTTTGTTCTTCCAGCTGTTTCAGTAATTACTGTGTAATTTGTGGGAGAGTGAAACCTGGCCCACTGGACATCGTGAGGCCTGGCGCATTTACATGCCCTGAGCTCGTCGTCGTTCTCTCTAGAGAGGATCCTCTTTAGGGGACAATTCTCTGCCCTTCTCGAAAATCGGGACGGACGGAAAGGGCATATTCTAGTATATTTTGATGGACTCGATCGTTGGAAATCCCCAAGGCTAGTCATAGAATAATGTGATGTGAAGCAGGTGCGGGTGCATTTGTATGCTTGTGCGAAATTCGTGACAGAATTTTGCATTCTCCCACATTCGCCGTTTTGAGCCATCCAGAGGAGACACGGGCCGAAAAATATGTTCGTGCTGGGAACTATCATCTTGAAGTCCGATACTGATCAACAGTGCTTGAGACGACTTTCTCTCGTTGATGCCAATGCTGAGGCGTGCACTAGTACGAGCCATACGTTTTCACGGTACATTCTACACAGGGAAAAGGATCTTTCAGATTCCCTTCATGCAATTTGAAACAGCTGACTCGAACTTGTATCCAGCAGCTGGTAGGTGACTCCGATCGATTGCATCTGACATTCTTTGCCGGGAATCATCGCACCTTCTAACTGCCCTGTGAGCGATAGGAAGGAGATTTGAGCAGCGGTATCTTTGACAACAGACAATGATTCAGGTGCTAAAATCAAGAAGTTGTCAACTTGTGTCTGATGACCGCAAACGCCGAAGCAATGCACTGATTCTCTGCTATGGCAGGCCCTCAAAGTTGCTTTCCCGAGGATATTCTTTGCGATTCGCTTCGCAGCTTGACCTGTAACGTGCGGACGTGGACGCATCCCCCTCGCTTAGTCCAGTCACTGTATGCGGACCTGCTCTTCGGCCGATCCTGAGACCGCAACGTCAGACTTTCAGAGCCACAGCGAAACGCACATCCTTCGGAGCTCGCAACTGGGCGCTCAACTCGATCCTTGCTTTGCAGTCAAGTCGCGGAATTCACATCGCTTTTCACTCTGATGATGTTCTGAGGTAATTACAGCGTGTGCATGGTATGGGTTTCGTTCGGCATGTATCCCTTTTCGAAAGGTGATTCTTCTCCGCGTCGACAGTAGGGGATTTCTATTCCCTACTAGAAGTTCTAACTTCGATTGTTGAGGGAGATAAGGCATGTTTTATAGTCTTTGGGCTCACTCACTCCTTCGGTATTCTGAAACTGCAGGCAATTGCGGAAAGTGAAGATCGCTGCATGGGTATGATTTGAGGGATCGCTGAATGGAATATTTAGGGTAGGGTTAGTTCAAGACTTTCCATAATCTTATGTTCCCAAAACCCCTACTGGTTCCGGAAGGGACTTTATTCTTAAGATCGCACTTTGAATCAGACCAAATCTGTTGTCAAAGTGCGGCACAATCCCAATCAATGATGCATTCCTTGGAAAATGTGCTGAATAAGTACATACATTGTACAGAAACGGGTGAAATAGAATTAGTCTCATATGTTGATTACCTTGGGAATCCCAAGTTGGGATGCATGGTCGGACCATGTTCACAGAAATGGCATCAGAAGATTTCAGAAATTACTTCTTGCCTTTGTCTTCATTCCTGGTATTGTTCTTTCATCTTTTGGTTTCGCTGTCGGCGCCTCATTCTACGGGCGGTCTGCATGGTTTCTTATGTTCTTACAGAACAGGAATTTACTAGTACTCAAATCTGATTCGGGCACCTTGAAACCAATACGGAATAATTCGGAATCCTGGTGGTTATTGACGCTATTGACCTTGCGGTCGTGGATGAGTTATCTATGACTGAGATACGTCTTGGAAAAGGAATGATGACTATGTATTCCACTTCAGTGAAACTCTTGATATCGAGTAAGTTCCTATGTCCTGGATCCGACTGTATGTGGTCCACATAGAATGTTTCAGATGTCAAACACTATCGAATATTCAAGCTTTTTGAGCAAAGCTCATGATCATGGAACATAAAATTTTCTCCAGCTTGACATCTCCAATCGGCCTTGTGGAGTGGACATTGTCAGCCAACTTCAGACTTATTGAATCACACCCTAAACTCCAGTTTGGATGTTGCGATGAAGAGGAAGATGAAGATTCAGAACTTCATCAGACATACTTAAGCTGGGCGTGCGCTCGAGCTAAGAGTAGGACAACTGAAACTGTAATATCGATCTGTCGCACTCTCTACTCTGTGTGCAGTTCATTTCAATTCAAGTCATTATATCTACTGTCCTGATCGAACATTAAAGAGCAGAGCCTTCACAATTGTCCCACCGTGAACTGATCATGCACATCGGAAATTCTGATGATGTGCATGAAGAGTTCGACACACGAGCATCTCGTTCGCAGTCACAGCAGACTCTTCAATAATCGTAAAAGGCAATCCGAGTGTGAATACGAAAACTAGGCTGGCAGACGCAACTAGAGACATTGATAGATTGACTAGCTATTGTAGATTATAGACGTGCCTTTCTGGTCTGATTCATCGACCGTATCCCTGCTCCAGGTCTGATGATCTTGCCGTGTTTCTCACGATGCGCTTCTCGAGGTATATTTGGGACAGTCGACTGCCGTCACCTTGGCTTTTCTAACTGTTCTGTGGTAGGAAATGTCGCTTCTGAACCGTGGCCAACGTATAGGATTGCAATAACGGGTTAGAGGATAGTCTTTTAAATGAAGTTCAGAGTACAAAGCAAGTACAACTGGTATTCTAAAAAGGCGAAGAATTCTTAGGAAAAAATTTGAAATACAACAACTAACACTTGGCCCGTACAAATCACAATAAACGTCCTGTTTCTTATAGGTGTTTTTTATTAAGTCACAGTTACAAGTGATATAATTATCATGGATTCCATTATTAAATATGATATTCGAGTTAAATCTCAAAAATACTTATGAAAAATATTCAACTAAACTCAAATAGTTTTTGTAACCTTTGAATTAAATCATTTCATATAAGATCTAGAGACATGAGATTCAAAACATCAAATGCATGGCAATTGATAAGTAAAATCTAGTTTTCACGAACATCTAAAAATCTTCAGAAAGTCAAATTTTTGGAAATCAATTATACAAGTATTTTTTTAATCCATAAAGGAGTTCTTGATAGGTCTCACGTAATAGTCAAGATACCATTTTGGAATTGATTTTTTGATTAAAAAATAGATAAATGATATTATGCATTTGAAAACTGAATTCAATCACATTCATTCTCTACTTTGAGATGGTAGAGAATGAATGTGATTGAATATATATACTAATTAAAGCATATAGCACTTGAAATATTGCAAAATCCAAACTATCACACATAATAAAAAAAATTGCAATGTATCCAGGGGCAGAGCGGGGGCGTTGGGACCATCCATGTGATATATCTTGTTCATTCTCTGTTCGTTTTTTTCAATTAGATGATTTATATATTTCTTGCATGTAAATGTGAGATATAACTTTAGAAAATATCTTGATAAAAGCCTGAAAGGATTGTAAGAAATGTAAAAAGTTACAAAAAATTTCATAGTAATAATCATGTCAATGATCATCATTATAAGGTTTGTATCCTTCAAACAAATAATCAAACTAATGATACCATGCTGAATAGATATTCAGTACTAGTAAAATATATTATCATATCAAGATCAATTTATACTCTTAGATGCTTGAAATTAGAATTAAAGTATGAGTATTGATACATCGATAAAATCATGTGGAGTAAAGAAACCTGCCCTAGTATCTTATATCACTCCATATCTTACAAAGTGCCGATCAAATCTAAATTTTTGGTTCCAAAATTAAAGCAAGCTTTTTTCTGCCTTTGAAAACTACCAAGAAAGAGGTGCTGTATAAAAAAGTTACAACATAGACGAAGTGAGATCTTTTTTGGTCTCCTCCACTAATCATGTAAATGACACACTCTGGGCCTCACTTATAAGCTGCGTAGTGACTTATGTAAAGTAAAGTAAACTAGTTCACTATACCTGAAAGGGTAACAATCCCCTTTGAAAATAAAATGTCATCACATTCATTCTACCTCTTAGGTAGCATCTTCGCAAGTAGCGCAATTACCAAAGTCCTTAGCCCATTTCAAACCTCCACGCAACAAAGGGCTAATATTGATAATGTACCGTCTTGATATTTATTGTTTTGGATTCAACAACTTTACGAATCCACGTTAAATTGTTTACACCTTATTGTCTAATTGTTCTTCCTTATAAGGATCGAGATGAATAAAACTATCGTATACATGCCAGTTAGCCAATGCGGTCATCGTGGTTAGCTCTTGTGTGATGGATACCAATTCAGACTTCCACCACCTAGGTGGCTGTGGCTGACGTGGCGCGGAGTACGACTTGCTTGGACTGCTTTTTGTGCGAACACAATCTGTCGATGCAGTGGACAGCGGCTAATTTGGACTCGTCGTGGAATGTTGACGGTTTCCGGGACCCACAAACAAGTTCCACAAGCGCGGAAAAGACTATCTCTTGCTCGCCAAAATTAGTCATGGATATACAGTCAGGTCTTCTCGATCCCATCGGAGGTCGAAAGCCCACAAGTTCTCAGGTCGATTGACGTTGGTCACTGCCGTCGTATGAAGACCGGACTCTGTTCACTCATCTTTCATCCGATGCTCGATCTGAAGAGAATTAATTACTTCATTGACTATGTTATGATGAAACTCACACTGCAAATTACATGGTCCTGAAGTATGGTACATTGAAGATTTTGTGTGCCTCGACAATTATCGTCATTTGGATTTCGTTATCGATTTTGTTGCCACATTTAAGATGCACCCTGCCAAATCTACGAAGGCAAGGTGGAAATGGTTTATCTCTCGAATTAGATATGCTCATTGTATTTTACTGTTATTATGAGCTTTCTCTATGGTACAACAATGCTGAACACTGCATTTTATGGTCTTCCATCTGCCTACCTCCTTAGAAAATCTAGATGATTGACAAAGGCGGATGAATTTATGGGCGCTCACAGCAATATTTTATGAAGCCTTGCACCCCATGCAAATCAGGTTATTGTATGGTGACTAAAGAAGAGAAGTAATTTTTACCACTCTGAATTACTCTCTGAAGCAATTTGTTGCTCTTTTGCAACAACAAATAAGATATATTGTTTTGTTGTAATTCTCTCAATGTTGTACAATAAAGTTTCTAGAAAATTTTGGAAGAGAATTTTACTCATTTGATCTTCTCTTACAATTGAAAGTCTATGAAAGTAGTTATAGCTTCTACGTTGAGTGCTCCACATCTTTGAAACTCATTAATGTGGATATCATGAAGCTTTCATGCATGAATCTCATCGAACATGTAACCAAGAAATGTCTTGCTTCATGTTTGACAATAATCTCTTTGTAAATTTCACTTACAAATGTAGTGAGTGCATTATGGAGTCAGACTACATTATGGAATGACTTCACACGTTTCGTCATTCAGAATTTGTATTACAATTTCAATACATACGAAGTTTATTAAAATAGATAATAGTTGATATTACTTGAAACCTCAATATAAATTTTCTAGTTTTTGAATTGTAATACATATAGTTTTATGAATGTATTAATTATAACTATATCCACAAAATTGATCACGATTAATTTAGTCATGACTACATTTAGCTATCAAGTATGTACTTAAAGAAATGATTAAAATAGTTTTAACTATTATGGATGAACACTAATATATTGTCTTTTATCAAAATTTAGTTTTCAATGATGTAATATTGTTAATTTTGATTTGTTTCACTAAGTAGTTAAATTAGAATTTATTAGAATAAGTGTAAAATTTCACTTTGTAGCATCTCAGGATTTCTAAAAATTTAGAAATACTGAAATTCCTAAATTTTAGGTTTCGGAATGACATTTGTTATTCCAATTCAAGTACACAGAAATGAGGATGTAGGTAGTTCAATGACATGTTGTTATATAACATTCTTCATGAGAATGAATCATATCTACCACAATTAGTCTGAATGAAAATAAATCATGTATTATTTGCATTAAAAACCATGATAAGTTATACCTATTATTATAAATAAAGAGATAAAGAAGATACTCAACAGCAAATTGAAAGGATTTTTTGTATAAAATTTTGTTTCATCAATGAAAATTTTAAATTTGCAGACTATGAAAGGATCTTTATAAAAAAAATCTATTTTTTCGCCAAAAAAACTAAAATTTGTACATATCATCAATTTATTAAAATCTTTGAATAAATTTACTTTAAATACAGATAAAAGTATTTTTTATCTTTAATCTGTTGTGATTCAAATTTTTTTGGACACCAACAGCCATTGCGGAAAAAAACTGTATTATGATAATATTATACTTATATCCATCAAAGTACATATGAAACTAAGAACTCAATGATAGATTATTTGATTTGCTCATTTATTCTATTCGTTTTTTTTGTGCCAACGAGTTATGTACAATGCAATTTGGCTTCAATGCATGAGTGATGTACTTGGAAAATAGAGATGAGAGGAACTAGAGTATAACAGGCATGCATGTTAATCCCACTAGAGAATTTTGTTAGCTTGATATATTTTTAATTTCCATTTTTAGCGTTCAAATCTTTGATAAAATAAGCAAGAGATTACTGTAAGAGTGTACATTTCAAACTTGATTTCGACACAAATTTAAGTTTGGATATTGTCGAAATCGAAAAACATATTATAATATCAATGAGCGACTTTACTGCACTAACTGATCTTACGAATATAAATATTTTCTAAATATTTATATTCGTATATATTTTCAACAAAGCTCAACAACTATAACCGCATTCCAGGCAACTCAACCCCTAGAGAGTGTGTAACCTATTGATGCACTTCCAATCCAGAGCGCTAATTGCATTACTGACTGGTAGAGCATATCCACCAGTCAGTAATGCAGTCAGACTGGTGGATATGCTCTACTCGCCTATCTTGGGAACCAACTAGTGCCAGGATAAAATTGTGCACAGGTAGTCTGCTCCGCGCCTACAACCGAGAAATTCACTTGAACTAGTAGAACTACACTTCAGTCCGTAAATTCTAGTGAAAACAAGATGTTTCTATGTACTTGACATGACCGTAATGCCATTGGCTTGCATAGATCCGTACTGTGGTTAATCTAGCGAGGACAACTTGATCTGATTGACACACTTTTATCAGTGCACGCATCGGGAAACATATCCTCCTCTGTCACCCTACTGTTGTGCGTAGGATCCTGACGGAGATCTGAGCTTGGAGATTTCCGTCTCACACTCGGTACTGAAAGACGTACTTGGTCGATCCTTCACAAGAAAGACGAGAAAATTTTTTTCGGACTGGCTGGCGCCATCCAATTTCCTAAGACGGAATTGTTGCACGAAGAAGACAATCGATAGTGGAAGGTTTATTCTTGATCAGATGCCTAACTGAATTCAGTCTCCGCAGTATGTCTAGAATTCCAGACTACTATTGTGAGCTTTATTAGCTCTTAGCCATCAATATCACGAAATTTCTTTTCACTGTTCGTGTGTAGATTCTTCTCCTCATTTGCCTCCAACAATATTGTCTAGTTTTCGCTTCTGCATGTCACGATTTTTTGTGCTTCGATTAGGGATGCGTGTAATTCAGAAACTCAAACACGTCACCTGCAGTCAATATTCAGCAATGACGATTCGGGCTATGCATGTTTAGCTTTGATTCAAGATTGATGATTCAAGATCATGATTCAAGACCAAATGCATGTTCTGATGCATGTTTAGCTTTAGCATAGTTGTCTTGACTGTACACCATAACATTTAACAAACTTTCATGTTCGAATGGATTTAAATCATCAACTTCATTCTTTGTCTTTGTTCAGTTACAAGATTACTTGGCTTGAATTATTCAACCTAACCACCTAGCACTGCCTGTGACAATATGAGGGTCGAAAGATTATTAACGTTTGGATTTTTGTACAGAACATCGTAAAAAAATTAATGATGGATGGATGTACAACGTAAAGGATTGATCAAAAGACTGAAGTGTGTATGGAACCGTATTGTTTAAAACATATGCCTTCAGTTATAATCCTTTCCTTGCGTCACCCGTCATTTCATCCGCGCTAATCCGCTCTACAAGACACTTCACTGGGATGTCAATGACATGCAGATCCATGTCTGGGCCGCCTCCAATATCAGTAACTCACATTGATCACAATGGAGCAAGAAAAGGAGTACTTCTGCACGTTTCCCTTTCTCCATTTCATATACGTATACACATAATGTCTGCTTCGGCTTCATTCTGGAAGTTTCTTTCCTATTTATGTCCACAGCTGCAAGTTCCATCAAGCTGTGATTTTTATAGAAGAAATTTTTATTGATGAAGAGAAAGAATAACCCTGCCTGAAGAAGAAAGTAAGAGAATAAGCCTGCATAAGCACTGAAGAACCTCTACTACTGTGTGTTTCGCCTCTGTCATACTCTACTGCACTTGTACCAGGGATAGGTGGTAGTGGTGTGGCAATTGGCACGACCGCCTGGACATGCATGATATAGAATTCGATTCACTCCTGGAACCCTGGTGACTGGGATTCTAACTCTCCCATCACAGTCAAGCCCTGGTCGGGCATCCGTGGACTCGGTTACATGGAAATCAGATGCAACCAGGCACCGGTGGAGTGGCTCACTACGTACGAGTGAGAGGTTGTAGCAGCACGTAGAGATCTCAAATACTGTTACTGTGTGCTACACGTCCCTTGCGACTCCATCGCATAAATGAGTAAGCACGTGCTACAGATACATTAAGCTTCACGTTTCGATGTTTTGGATTTCAATATCAAGTCATGGACTGGAGCTCTGCCTTCGTCCCTCAACATCATAACTTAGTCCAAGTGAAACATGTAGTTTTATTCACAAGGAAGTAAGACCCACTCGTCTTATCAGTCTTATTGGCCCGGATTTTCCCAGATTCTTAAAACGTTCACAGGTCAAATATGGATAAATCCGTATGTCTCTGTCAAAGTAAGCTAGATGGGGACGATCGGAATAACACGCTACATTGGAGAGAGGGCACCTGAGAGACAGAACCTTAAAATTTATAGAAAGCAGATCCAGATGCAAAGCAGTCCCCAATGTCACAGAAGAATCAAGTATCTGTATACAGAACAACTTTCCGTCAAAACGCCCGCAAGATCAGAGGAGCATCGTCAGAGTATCATCACAGCGATCTTAGAACAGAATGGTCAGGAATTTCAGGGTACTCGACTGTTCTCAACCGACAGGCATGTTGTGCTGTCGTCTTGCCGGAGACAATACGAATCTCGTGTTGTTATCATCTCCTTTCTTCATCCGCGTTTCGTTCTGGATCTTCTACATTCGCACATTGTTTTCCTGATCCATCGTCCGAAATTTAGGCAATGAGGTCGGCCCGGGTCTGTTGGTTGCCTGTTTAGTTGAATGCGCTTTAGCTGGAATCACCTTTCTCGTTAAAACGTCACGGAATTCCGTTATTCTAGCCCCATCAATAATTGTACTATCTGGTCCTGTTTCCGCCATCAGCTGCAGGGGAAGCAAAGGTCGGTAAACGGCAAGTGTACTTGTACTCTGACAATCTACTCCATGCGCGAAGGGGGGAAGAGAGAAGCATTAGTGCAGCCAGCTCAGCTCAGCTGCGTCACGAGAGATAAGAGAGGCGACATGATCAATTCAGTCTGAAGGTTGAAGATAGATCATCTTCCTTCCGAGAGGCAATACAGTATGGAAATGTTGGAATGTAGCAAACATTAGTTCGTCAGCCATCTTGCTCGTGGTCGTATGACATGAGCAAGATGGCTGACGACCACCACGCAACTTTTCAGTGCGTCTGTCTTACGTCATGCGGTACTAATGTGGCAGAGGGCCTGTTCAGGTCCAGCGTTTTCATCTTCATCATCAGCAGTATGAGATAGGCCGGCTGAGCTGCACAGTGCTCGAGCTCAGTTACTTTCAAGAATCTTCCAAAGCTCATCACATGTGCATTTAACAGCTCCAAGTTTCATCGAATCGGAGGCAAACCCTTGTACAACTCGAGAGAATTATGGATGGGGAATTTATGTTATTAGTACGGTCGACCCTACCAACATCCTAGAACGTTTGACCAATCCACTTGATGCCTCCCGACAGATCCATTGCTGTTGAAAGTGAAAGGCTGGATGATGTGACTACAATATAATGTTGTAATGTGATGTGTATGTGAAGTATAATAATACAGGTTACACTAGTTTCCGGTATTGTTAATTGGAAATTAATATTTAAGTTCACATGTCAGCTCACTGCAATCCTCATGAATGGATTTGATATATAAGAGTTCAAAAAGACTTACGAGGCCAATCTCTGAAGTGATGGAATACGAAATAGAAAAGACAAAGAGTAATGTGGTGGTATAGTTCTCTTGCAGTCCATCAATATCATACTCCCTTAGAAGTATGTCGATCAGAGCTTTTCAAGCCCTAAGAGACTGCAGTGATGTTGTTTGGTGATATGGGGTTACCACATAGGGATGTAAAGATTCCTGACTATTTTCCTCATCCTCTGAGAGTTCTCCGCCACGGGCCTCACCTGGGGCCAAAGTAATCTTAGACATGTTGGACATCGGAACTGACAGCTTTCGATTAAAATATTCTTTGCTTTTTCTCGAAACGGAATTCAGTTCATATTGGAATCTCGTCCCTTCTTGTATCCATACATCAACGCTTTTCAGGTTATTGAAAAGTGGAGATTTACTAAGATATAGATAACAAAATTGTTGCATCACATACCAACACAGCATTTGTGAACAACTGAAAGGTACCTTCTGTATTAAGGTTTTGTAACAAAGATGATGGTATAAGTTCGCCATTACATAGTAGGTTTATATAAGTTCAATTATATAGTAGGCTTCTGTTGTATGAGGTATAACGAACATAACTGTGCAGAGAATACATTCACTGTTCTCTGGAACATCGTAGATTGAAATCGTTGCATAACATAATCTCATGTCTTGAGCATTAAGTTTGTAGCATAGATTTCTCAGCAGACTCTGTTACGGTCACGAACCTGGCCGTTTTGAGAAGATACTCTTTGTTTCTCACCCAAACACCCGTCGGCGACCACCGAAAATCTTCCCAATTTAAGTTGGATTCCACCACCTGTTTCAAATGCAACGGTAGTGGTACTCCTTCCGACCGCATATTGTTTAGGGGCAAGTGCAATTTGCATCGTGCCCATCTGTATTTGTTACGAGGAAGATGAACATCTAGTTTCCGATCATGGGATGTTTGACATGGATTCTCACTTGAAGCTTTGACTTGAGCAGAGGTCCTTCCTTCGTTCTCCAATTCAGAACTGTACTTTGAGATCTTAGTCGAGGAATCCACTTCATATGAAAGCTCGTATCGATTAGCCAGAGTTTCCACGTACAACACTTCACCTTGACTGATACGTGCAGACGTAAATTGGACTTTCACCTTCTCAACATCATTGTATTTGTCAGCAACGTAAGCCATTGTGTACGCATCACAGGGCTCGTTGCTAAGGTCGTAGCGGAAGATTACAGAAGCTTGCTGCAAGTTGAGTGCAGACCTCCTAGATGTCTCCGGAATTCCACCAGATGTAGGAACAAGTGTCGGTCCATAGTTCCCGATTCTATTGGTAGGTTCCAGTGATCTCTCTACGCTAAAAGTGTCGTTTAAATTGAGTGTCTCAATATGACAACAGACAACAATGAAGCTGCATGTACTTCCACCTCCCCATCGTCGAGATCTTATATGATTCCTCGTCGTGCCAACATAAGATGGTAATGGGGGAAGGAGACGTATGGACGCTCTCAACGAAAATACATCAGAAGTACTGCTTTGAAGATCATAAAAGCCTGTGTGCTTGAGAACGGCAACTATATCAGAATCGTCCGTGTAAATGTCCGTGCCCCACAGATCTAATCGTATTACACCTGGGTTGAATGAGGTTGCTTGGCTTCCAGCGATGAGGACCTCGATATCGAGATCTGGTTCCGGAGTTAGATGTTCAACACTTAGAATTTTAAACTCTTGACTTCTATCGCGCTTGCTCCAAATCTCCTGTAATTGTTTCTGGAGTGCACCTTTGTATACAAGAAAATGCTTCGTTGAATGGAATCTCCGCTGTTTGCAGCGAAGTGTGGCATCTGAGCAACTGCCAGTTACTGGAGTATTTGTTCCATCACTGAAAGCGTCACGTTTTATTTTCTCTGCCTCACCAGCCAAGCAATCTGGCATTTCAGAATCTACGAAACTTTCGTCCATATCCTTGTTAGCCGATTGGGCCTGATTCTCCAACTCAGAATCAAGAACATCCTGCTTTCGTCCCTCCTGTTTGAAGGCTTCGGCAAACTTAGAAGCTGCAAGTGTGGCATCTGAGCAACTGCCAGTTACTGGAGTATTTGTTCCATCACTGAAAGCGTCACGTTTTATTTTCTCTGCCTCACCAACCAAGCAATCTGGCATTTCAGAATCTACGAAACTTTCGTCCATATCCTTGTTAGCCGATTGGGCCTGATTCTCCAACTCAGAATCAAGAATTTTCTGCCTTCGTCCCTCCTGTTTGAAGGCTTCGGCAAACTTAGAAGCTGCAAGTGTGGCATCTGAGCAACTGCCAGTTACTGGAGTATTTGTTCCATCACTGAAAGCGTCACGTTTTATTTTCTCTGCCTCACCAGCCAAGCAATCTGGCATTTCAGAATCTACGAGACTTTCGTCCATATCCTTGTTAGCCGATTGGGCCTGATTCTCCAACTCAGAATCAAGAACATCCTGCTTTCGTCCCTCCTGTTTGAAGGCTTCGGCAAACTTAGAAGCTGCAAGTGTGGCATCTGAGCAACTGCCAGTTACTGGAGTATTTGTTCCATCACTGAAAGCGTCACGTTTTATTTTCTCTGCCTCACCAACCAAGCAATCTGGCATTTCAGAATCTACGAAACTTTCGTCCATATCCTTGTTAGCCGATTGGGCCTGATTCTCCAACTCAGAATCAAGAACATCCTGCTTTCGTCCCTCCTGTTTGAAGGCTTCGGCAAACTTAGAAGCTGCAATTGTGGCATCTGAGCAACTGCCAGTTACTGGAGTATTTGTTCCATCAATGAAAGCGTCACGTTTGATTTTCTCTGCCTCACCAACCAAGCAATCTGGCATTTCAGAATCTACGCAAGTTTCGTCCATATCCTTGTTAGCCGATTGGGCCTGATTCTCCAACTCAGAATCAAGAACATCCTGCTTTCGTCCCTCCTGTTTGAAGGCTTCGGCAAACTTAGAAGCTGCAAGTGTGGCATCTGAGCAACTGCCAGTTACTGGAGTATTTGTTCCATCACTGAAAGCGTCACGTTTTATTTTCTCTGCCTCACCAGCCAAGCAATCTGGCATTTCAGAATCTACGAAACTTTCGTCCATATCCTTGTTAGCCGATTGGGCCTGATTCTCCAACTCAGAATCAAGAACATCCTGCTTTCGTCCCTCCTGTTTGAAGGCTTCGGCAAACTTAGAAGCTGCAAGTGTGGCATCTGAGCAACTGCCAGTTACTGGAGTATTTGTTCCATCACTGAAAGCGTCACGTTTTATTTTCTCTGCCTCACCAGCCAAGCAATCTGGCATTTCAGAATCTACGAAACTTTCGTCCATATCCTTGTTAGCCGATTGGGCCTGATTCTCCAACTCAGAATCAAGAACATCCTGCTTTCGTCCCTCCTGTTTGAAGGCTTCGGCAAACTTAGAAGCTGCAATTGTGGCATCTGAGCAACTGCCAGTTACTGGAGTATTTGTTCCATCAATGAAAGCGTCACGTTTTAATTTCTCTGCCTCACCAGCCAAGCAATCTGGCATTTCAGAATCTACGAAACTTTCGTCCATATCCTTGTTAGCCAATTGGGCCTGATTCTCCAACTCAGAATCAAGAACATCCTGCTTTCGTCCCTCCTGTTTGAAGGCTTCAGCAAACTTAGAAGCTGCATCATCCATCAATGGAAGGTTTGACATCCTTCGAAGCGCCTTCGTTTGGAACCCTTCAAGCCACCACCTGACTCCAGTATCTTTCAGCTCGGCTGCAAAAGAGTATCTCTTTTGAGAGGTTGAAGTATCATGAATATGCTTTCCACTGTCAATGACAATCGAATCGGCTCCGATCTTCTTACGTCGATACCTCTTATGCAGTCGATTAGCACCAATTATGATATGTCTGTATCGTGGACGACTCTATAATAAAAGGTAACCAGAAATGCACTTGAAAGAAATTCTCAAGTTTGCCAAAATATGTCCCAAGTGCAAATGCTATCCACAATCTTCAAGTACCGGCCTTTGCAACTCTCTTCCATGCACACACAACGTCACTTCATTGGCAGGAGGCTTTCAATAAGAACATGTACGACTTCTGCATTGCATTGATTCCTCTGGAATAGCATGTGTACCACTCTGCCGTCGTCTCCTTCAAATCAGTCCCATCTTTGGTCACGTTCGACAGTATACTCCAGGCCGGATTTTCTGTCAACTTTTGTCTGCAATCTTCCACAAAACCGGTGGAGCAACCACGTCATATAATTTTAGAAACATTTCTTGGTATCAATACTAGCTACCAGTCTCTCGTCTGTGGCCGAGCCTTTCGCTTGCACAATGTGAGGCGGATCCGACCTCTAGCAGATAATGAAGATAAGACCAGGGAACAAACTGACGATCAGATCAAAAGGACTCCAAGCCGAATAGTTTATGAAAACAAACAAACGAGAAAGAATCCTGCGCATTATGTCTTCAATGTTTATCATTCTTCGGTAGTGTTTATAATGACACGACTGAAGATAACCAGTTCCCACATATCACAAGCATAAACTTTCAGCTAAAATATCTGTTCGTATATTCATTCTAAGTGTAAGTGGGATCGTTCATATCATAGCCCAAATGTGCTCCTTTGTGACAGTGATCCATACAAATCTCCGTTAGTGTACTTAATGGATTTAGAAAATTATTTCAAAACTAGGAAAAAACTTAGTTCATGTAACTTGGAATATATTTTCTTGGACAAACCATGGGGACGAAAAGTAGGTATAGAAAAGGTACCGAGTCAATTTCTGAGGTCTCTTCATGTTGTACAGGACCTTTAGATAATATTGCTAGTCAAAGATGAGAAATCGAGCTTGGAGGAATATTTTCCTGATACGAATATAGCTTGCGATTTGTCAATTTAACTGTGCATTCTTGCTCCCTTTTTTCTGAGTTCTGCATGTGTGTTCGAACACCAACTAGCCTTTCAGGCAAAGCATTAGTCCCTTGATCTGTGAATTAGGGTCCATACGAGCTTCTGCTTGTGCCTGAAAGTTGACAGACAGACTAGTTGAAAGTTGACTAAAAATCGAAAGTCTCTTGGACCAAACCTTCATCGTGTGGAAAGTTTCCCCCTTTCTTCTCAAGGCGTGATGTGTTTCGAGAGGAACCATAGATGGCAGAATTGCCTTGAGAGAAAAATTGTCAGAAAGACATGCTCTCTGTAGGTGCCTATATGGGGACAGACTTCTGTCACTTGCGAGGCATTAAATCTCGAAGAACCGCATAACTTGCACAAAAAACGTAAAACAATGCTAAGAGATGTTGAGCAATCTTATGTGTAGGATGATTGTTGGGATACGGAATCATGATTCACACAGGTTCTCGGATATTACAACCACTTCAAGCCCGCAGGCCAAAAAAAGGCCTAGGCATGAATAATTGGAGGTGGTTTGGTGCACCAAACAAATAAGTGTAGCATCAGTTTGAACATGAAGTCTTGTCTAACCGAAGTTGTATGCTCTAATCTGTTGCCTGCCGAGTGGCATGTTCCGCAGATCCCGGAAGTCGCCAATGCCTGTTCGAAATGGAAAGACGTGCTGAGGGTTAACTTTGCGACAGAGCGCTGACTGGAAATAAGTGCCATCGTCGGATGGAACAACAAACCCGTCCACTGTTGCCCAAATCTCTCTTCTCCAGTAGCCGAATTGCGAAGAATTATGCATTCAGTCTCTCGTCCAAGTTCTTTGCAAACCCTGTGGTTACGGCTTTGTCCTAAGAAGGCATCGTCGTGCGGCATCACATTTGAAGGATGGGTGGTCGGTTTCGGGAATGGACCAAGACTGAGTGACTCGGGAGCTAGGCTTACTGCGGCTTTGTAATCATGGAGAACTCAAAGATCATAATCGTTAGGGCCCAAAAACGGAGACGGTCTTGACAGGGAAAATGGGGTATGGACTTGGAGGCTTCGGCGAATTTCAAAGCTTAGTGCAGAGACTATCTCAGATCCTTTGATAGTTGAGAAGATAGAGCTGTATATTGCACATTTTAAACTGGTGGAAGTATATGTCGCAGCGTTTTAGATTCTTGTCTCAAGATAATTTCGCTACTATTGTTCTTATTTCTCGTCATGATAATAGGAATACCTATCACAGGTAAGTTTTCTTCTTTGTTTCCCATGAAACCCAATACATCTTCCTCTTTATATATATATATTATTTTTTTTCTATCCACTTGTACACCATTATTTTCCTTTTACATCTTTTGTGCAAGTTCTGCCCTTGAGGTTTTGGTTGTTGCTACACTCAGGGGAAGTACCCATGGATGCAAAGGTTTCTGGATTGTGAAGTCGGACACATCTATCATCTACCTCTTGTCTCCGAACATGACTGAGCTGATTTCTACCTTAATTTATTTTGACTAGATATCGTGGTTCCAGCCTTCACTCTCAGTGCACCGGTTACCATCTTCCATAGACGATACTTGGAAAACACTGGTTTATTAGATATACTACACCGGGAAATCTCAAATTGGCGTTCGTCAGGGATTATGACATTCGTGGTCAATTCTTGGTGGCTAGCCCACAATGAAATTCCGCGGCTTATCAGGGATAACAACCCGTGATAAGCCGCAGGAAATAACTCCTAAAATGTTGTTCGTTCGTGCAAGTTTGAAAGGTTCGATATTACACCTCACTGTCCACTATCAGTACATTTAGTACTAGATAAGGTCAAATTAGTATGACTATGTCTGAGTTGTCATCGATTATGAGGACCGGTGTTGCCTATGGTCCATTGTTGGTGTTGTCGTTTCCTTCATGCAGAAGACGTTAATTGTATTATCCGTTTAGAACCAAACTCTGGACTAATAGAATAGTGAGTCTGCCAATCAGAAATCACGTTCGGTTTGATAGGTACCGCCTCAGTAATGCAACTAAAGCATGTATATTAGTAATTCGTTAATTTTTTTCGGTAGATTTAAAGTGTGCTTAGAAGAGTGTTTTCAGGTGAGCTGATGAGACGAACGGGCACATGGACTTGAAGAAGTTATAGAATCTGCGCAGATGTATACAAAAAGAGAGAAAAAAGGCTAACGTGTCTTCAACTCACCGGAGTCCTACATTCAGGACGGCTGTCACATATTTCAAGCAGACTCATGCCTGCAAATTTATGATCAGGCATAGAAAGAAAACGGATTCTGTTTAAGTCAGCTGGCATGTAGGCCTTCGAACCCGGGTAAGGTTTTCCAGTTACGGATGATGTCAAGGCCTCACTCCCGATCGCAGTTCTAGAATTTCGAAGATTCTAGATCACACTTCGTTTTGACAAATCAATGGTTTTATCGGAGCCTGAATCGAGGAGCTTGGGGTACACAATTAAGATAACCTATTGCCGAAGTTGCCTTCGGTCGACAGTAAGTAATATCTTGCAGAGGATAATAAAATAGTCCAATTTAGCTTCAGTGACATCACCACGATATATCTGATTAGAAGCAGATAGATCTTGGAAGGAACATGAAAGATTAATGTACGCCAGTATACTTAATGAATTTCATGTCTCGGTATTGTCAGCTCGTAGCTGTGGATTGCGTATCTGGAACGTTTAGTCAGAGAAATCATCAGTATACCGATAAAACAGTTGTAATCACAACTCTACTTTTAACCTATGCACTTGGAAAATCCAAGTGGCCAAATACTTAGCTTGCATTTGGCTTTCTTCGAGGCAGATTCTTTGCTTCGGCAACAGAACTTTCCTCATATATCAAAAGATGAAGACATTAATATGTGAGAAAATCCCAGATACTTTCTCTGAATTTCTATGAACATCAAGTAGGACACATGTACAAACGTAAACAGGTAGTCCGACACAGATTCTTAGAATCAGACTGCATCTAGAATACACTCTTTCAGAGTCTTGGGTCAATGTAATGGAACCCAAGAATCTCCATCTCCATTCATCTATCCCGTGGAGATTGCTGTCAAATGGAAGTTTTTTTGCCGTGAGTGATACCTTCGGTCTCGTGTTTTTTACTTAGGACGTCTACTTTCCAGACTTCCATTGAACCTCTGTGACGCTCACAATCACAAAGAATACATGTTCGTCTTTATCTGATTAGATAAATTTGTATAAGTTTGCAAGAACGGACATAATCCTTGGAAAAGGTGATAGGCAACATTCATATTCTAGCGGCTGATGAACAAGTTGTAACTAAAGCATTAGGCTGATATTTCAAGGTGAAGTTAATAATGTCTATTCATACAGTTGTCTTGGGGATTGTGGTGCTGCCAATAGCGTCGCCGGCTCTTTAAGTACAGTTCTCACGCAAAGGCATGCTTCATCCCACCGTTTTCAAGAGACATTTCCGGGATATATCAGGATGCGAAGTTTGCTCCTGTGTTAAAAACACCTGTAAGAGTTCTTGAGACTGGATCGACAATCTGGAGAGTCGTGAAACGGTTTAAAGCCGTCATGCTTAAGCCATCATAATCTTGATCGTACTATCAATTGCTCGCAGTTGGGATGATCTGGAACCTTCAAGTCCTCGTGTTTAACCAGTAAATCTCAGGTATGTTTAGTATCCAGTTATTCTTTTTCTCCAAAGCTTGAGCCTCGAATTTAGCGAAGGTGTACGGCTTCAATCGATAGAGTTAGTTTTTAGACGAGCATTATCATTTGCTTACAATGAGTTCCACTTGTTCACCTTAATTACAATTGGCAAGACCGTGTCAGCTTAAATGCTAGATCTCTCCGCAGAACATCAACTTGTAGACAGAGTTTGACTTCGGTCCCATTATTTTTCATGACAAAAACTCTCGTAAGAAAAATAAATGCTGTGAGCCAAAAGTCCCCACCCTTTAGCGTTTGTAATCCAAGTGGTGGTTCGAGCTCCCATAATCTAACTTCTCTGATCTCAAGCCATATGCTCTAAGTGTATTCAAGACAACGAGATCATAAACACTCGCTTTTCCACAGACAAATTGTCCAAAACTGAATCTAACAACTTGGTGTCTGCTATTTTCACAAGAGCTGCAAACAAGCTCTTCGTAACACAAATATCTAACCCAACTCTAGGTGACCTTCTCAATACTACAGCCTTTGTAGGCTTATCCTAGAATGATTGCCACATCTTGGACACACTGCATCGGACTAAGTTAGGTGACACACCGATAGCACCAGGTGACACACTTCCTAACAACAATCTTCACAGCCAGGGAACACTATTCTACCCTCAACACTTCGCTCAATTCTTCCTCTTAGTGATCCACTCACTCTCAGCCCAGCGATCCCCTCGGCACTCTTAGCGATCCACTCGGCACTCACACACACTTTCGACTCTCCCTTCCAGCACCCTGATTCCACTTCAAAAATTTGAGAGATCACCCTCTCACTCCCACACAGCGATCCTCACCGCCCTCTCCCACACTCTCACAGCCAGTACACACACTGCCCACCTTCCTTTGACAGCCCCAGACCCCACCAGTTTTCTCTCTCAGATTTAACTCTCACGTTTCAGTTTCAAATTCAGATCACGACTGTCAAATTTCAATATCAGATCTCACTTCAATTGCAGCTCCCGCTCTCAAATCTTTCACTTTGATTTCAGCTCCCACTCACAGATTCGACACTTCGATCTCAGACCCCAATTAAATTTCACTTTCAGATTCGACTCTCCACCCTCGAGAATTCGCTCCCTCCTCCTTTGAATTCTCAACACTCCCCTCCTAATTCTCACCACTTCCCAGAAAAAATCACTCACATCCACACTCTATCCCTGCGATCGATCCCACCTGCGTCCACCCACAATGGCACCCCTCAAGATCTCTATTCCAATGCCAAAATTCCTTCTCCAAAGTCCGAGGGTCGAGGGACCCACAGGCCGCTTGAATGCCGTTCCCGCGATGATGGGTACCGGCCTGCTTCTCACGCTTGACTTCGCGTCGTCGCCGACGTCACACTTGTACATTCCACATTCATGACCACGCTGACTTCCGTCGGAGTAAATCTTCTTCCGCGTACCGCCGAAGGCATCCTACCGCCGAAGGCCCCTTGCGCCGAAGGATCTTCCGCCGAAGGCCTTTGCCCCGAAGGCCCTTCGCCTAATCATCCACTATTGACACTCATAGCTCAATGATCCCTTATCTGTTTCAAGAGTTCTTGGGTTCGTTGGAACTAGCGTGTCGAGTTCTATCCATCAAGACTCTAACTAAGTCAAGGCGTTACGAATTGAAAAAATTACGAAGGATTTACTCTATCAGATTTCTTAAACTTCTCATTTTGAGAAAGAAAAGAAAAACTAGGCTACCACACCTCCTAGCCATTACACCAACTCCTAATCTTGCCAAAACTTTCAAAAAACTCCAAGCATAATTTTGCAAAAGCTTGTATCTAAAATTTTAACTCTTATAAGGTTAAAAAGACATGTGAGCGCATTTTTGTGCTCACAAATGCTTAAGTACGCCTGTCACATAAAATGTGGAGACGACCAATTCTCGATTTGATTGACATCTGGCTGGCTTGATAAAGAAAACAGACAATTCTTATAAACACGGAAAATTGATTCCGAACTTGCTCTCGGAACAAACACATCACAAACACGTCAGTGGTTGCGTGGTATTAGGAAAGGTCATTTATCTATTTACTCGCTAACATGGGCGGAATAAAGTGTAGATCTTCACTTGCAGGTTTGAGTAATTCATGTCCTGAATTGATGAGTCGTTTTAGTTTGTTAGCCCCCAATTTGCACAGATTTATGGAAGATAGACTGAGCTAACGCTGAGTTCATAGCTGAATGGAGTGAGCAATCTCTTCAAGTAGGTTTTCATGGTCTTGTATTCTGATGATGAGTCTGCGCTGTCTAGCAGTTCATTTTTAGCTCCGAAAGAGTGTGAAGTTGGAACTTTTCCAACTTCACACTTCAGTTCTCAAGGCAGATTGCTTATATCAAGCAACCTCTCAAGGTGTGAACAACTACTGAAGTACAACAATCCGACAGGTTGTGAGGATACTAAGTTACTCCTAACACCCCTTCAGAGGAATCGTAATTAGGGACCTCGAGTCCAGAGTAACAATTATTCTAAGATTATACTGAGCGTTTGGACAAGATAATAAACACATTTGTCTCGTGTTGTGTTTCGGTGTTCAGGTTTACTTCATGATATATGACTTTAGTTTTCGAAACACTGTATATCTCCACAATGCTCATCGTGTATGCCCGCAGTACTTTTAACCCTGGTTTAATTTATGAGAAAGAAATATGTTTTAATCTGAGGGAATTTTGAAAGCCAAATAAGAGTATAACCGCGAGTGGAAAATAGATGTCAGAATTAGTGCTTATTAAGGATTTGAGTTCAGCAATAAATTTTTCGAAATATGTATACAAAAATTGCAAGAAAATAACATAAACATCTTGTTGTATCTACTTTTATCTTGAATTTTTATCCATTTTTCACCACCACAAGAAATTAATTATATTGAACCAACTTTGATGTAGATGATTTCAATATTTGAAAGACATAAAGCAAAATATCACAAATAAAAAAAACTGAAAATATTTTACAAAATTTATCATAAATAATGTAATGATTATTTTATTGATTTAGGAATTAAAGCTTTGATTGGTTATCACATGTTAAATCAAACACTCAATGTATCTAATCCATTGGAAAATGTCATAAAATAATTTCGCCTAAAAGAAAATGATCTAATTTACTGGTTTTTCAAGATAGATTTATCCCTCAAGTATCAAAAATGTGAAACATGAAAGTCTAATTTCAAATCGAATTAGATTCAATGTCCCCAAAACATTCAATTATAATATTGATCAGTATTATTCAGACGGATATTAAAATCCAAAATCTTTTTAAATATGTTTCACAGATACCAGTATGCAAATGCAAGAATATAGAAGAATAATCATTCCAATTTGGAAGAATTATTCCAAATTTTATGAAAGAAAATAACCACGATTACTAAGAAGATTGTAATTTACAATATTTCCAACAAGCTTCAAGATACAAATAAGGGTTTTTTTGTTTTCCTTAAATTTGACAATGATGAGTATTTTTTACTGTTTTTTCTCATATTTCTCGTTATATTGTACTGGGTTTCTAATACTTATATATAATAATGAACTTACTTATGTAAAGAAAAATATTCTGGTGATTTCTTATATTTTCAATGACTTCATGTTATTTTAAATTACTCCATGACCCTCGCGAACGCACTTTCCCGTCTAAAGCAAGTATATGCGGCCCGAACAAATCCTCCTGAATCTTCCGCTACACGCAGACTTGAATCACTACAGACAAGAGATTCTGTATCTGGTCTGCGTGGATTTAATAGAGAAAAACAGAGGGACGGAGAAATAAAATTTCCAACGTGTGAGTCGAGAATCTCTCGACATTCGACCGATTGGTTGTCTTCTAAGAATCAAAATTGTCCCCACAGGAATGCGTCATACAAATTTCAGTTGTCGACGAGCATCCGTGAGGTGAGGTAGACCTGGGAAAGAAGTTGAGGAGAGAAGAGGAAAGAAGCGATCGGACGCTGATCGCATGAGTCGGTGAAATAGGCGAATTGGATTTCAGAATTTGAGAAATCCTTCGTTCTTCGGTCACCGCGGTACTCCAGTGTCTGGCCAGTTTCAAATGCGCAAACGGGCTCTTCTTGCTGGACCGTCTTTTTCTGTAGGTCTTGCACTCACGAAATTTGCTGAATCTCTCATCAAGGAAGAAAAGAAGAACGAGCGGAAAAGAAAAAGGCATCGGACGGCCGCTGATGGTCCTGTTGTGAGAGACGGAGATGAGAGGGATGTCTTAGGAGGAGGTGACAGTGGAGGAGAGGGCTCTACAAACAGGGTACAGGCAAGGAAGAAACCGGTCGCTCTCGATGAGGGTGATAGTGATGATCGATTGACGGAGACAACACCGTGGTTTGAACCTGGAAGTTCTTTGGACTTGGAGGAAGATAGTGTTTCCGGAGCAGCTGAGATATGTCCAGGTACCATGAGCACTCAGTGGTATTATCCCAGAGCATGAAGCAAGCCTCTGAATTGCTACTCAATTATTTGCATCATACGCTATAAAATAAAACGTTGAAATTCCGTATCCTCCATCTACCATCTAGCGTTCTGTAGGTTGGGTTTAGCAATATCGTCATTGAAGTTCGAGGAGGAGTTCATCCTTTTTGAAACTTTGATGCGAAGACCAATCTTTTCTTTGGGGCTGTATCTGAAATTCGAACCAGTAAGCTAAAATTGGATGACGAGGTCTACAACTGGTTCATCTGAAAAACCGATGTTTGAAATGTATCACTTGTTCTACAGAATGGAGCTTGCCCACAGACACCTTGGTTGCCATAAAGATGATGTGTGCACAATTTCCCAAAATCACTCAGGTGTGTTGGACTCGTTCGACTTAAGCTTCTACTTGTGATATGCTCTTCTTTGCTTGGGCAAGTTTTTTTTGTTGGTAATTGAGCGTTTCCTACGTGGTATCGGTAATGAGAACTAGGGGATGGCATGTGCAGAATTCTGTTCGGCCCTTCGTGTTGAGGTCACAGTTGTACAGCAGTGTAAGCGATCGGACGACTGCTGATCGGGAACTGGAGGTACTCATTTGTTTCGGATATTCATACGGCTTCGGGCTCAATAAGTTGACATTAGGTTCCATTGCAGCAGATGAATTTTGTAAGTCAGAGACGTCAGCAATGTCGACTCATATATGAGTACTAAGGCATAGAGTTTTGGAATTGCAGGAGTTAAAGCAGCAGCAAGTAGTACGCATTTTTAAACTCCATTCCGGGAAGGATGATTTTGCCATTATGCTCATAGAGGACTACATAAAGCAGGTAAAGTGATTCATGGAACTAATCCCCGTTGAAATATCTACAATAGGTCTGGGCAACAGTTTAAGAAACTGTCCGTGGTCTGTGTTGGGTGTTGAGTTATACTCTTCCCAAGCGTGGTCAATGCAGAAACCTACTCACCCCGGTACGCAGTGCTTAAGCAGCTGGGATCATGTGACGATGGAGTGATGCCCATCGATTAGGTCTTGTTAGTGTTCCTGGTTTTTCTTGCAGGGATACGAGGAAGTAAACCGCTCTTTGTTCTGACTGTGCGTTTGAACTTGTTCTTTTGACCATGTTCCGTTTATTTTTCTTACATGTGCATTTTGTCCCGTTTCGTAAAGAGTCCAAAGGCCCGAAGAAGATGTAGCAGTAAACGTCATCTTTGAAGCGTCGAGTATCGCTACTTCTTCTTCCGGTCCTTTGCCCTCTATTCTTTCTTTGACGAGAGATTGGAACCATTCATTCCAATCTCTCGTTATAAACACGCAAAATGGAGTAAGCATTAGATATGTGCTGTTGTTTGTGACTGCCTGATTCCTTCTTCCGCAACTCGCATGCGGTTGTCTGCTTTGGATACTCTATGAATGCTGTCCTATGAATTTGTCGATTCTTTCAGCAGGATGCTATGCTATGTCATGTTTCCGTTCTGATTTATACATCTTGGGTCTGCACCCTTTGGTCCCCTTGTGTGCTAAGCCCTTCTGGTTGATCACGTGTTATCACGAGTGTTATGATTCCTGTCAGCTGATGGAGATAATCCACTTTGAGACAATAGAATACGCTTGAAATTTCTATACCGGTTGTCGAGGCAGTTCAGGTGTTTACTGAATTTTTGGGTTTTCAGCTTCAAAGAAACGGATGATACAACAAGTAACAATGTTGTCGAACTGCAGATCGAAGGAGCAAAGCAGCGGATAGAGTCCAAACGACCAGAAGAAGACTTAGCAGTATTTGACTGGTTTCAATCTCGCGTCATAAATGCGCACACTGGAGCCAGTATAAGACATTCACACCTGGTACGATTTGCTCACATACATCGCAATATGTCACTGATTAAAGAAGCTGTCTGGAAATTAGTGAGTTTTCAAGTGGCATCCGAAAAGCATCTCATGACAGAATGGTTCATCGTTTGATGTCTCCTTGAAAGTTGATGCAGGTCATGTTATTGTCACAAGCGGGTGATGTGCTGGACAAACAGATAACTCTTCTTATAAACTCCGGACTTCTGGTGAGTTTGCTGCATATGAGTTGTTCCTAATGATTTTGACTGAAGCACGCGGTGTTTGGTCTCTTCTCTAGAGTAAAATATCAGACGCTTAATGAACACAAGAAAGACGCATATGAATCAGAGAAGTGGGACTCCAAATTGAGGAGTTAACAGAGGATTTTGTATTAGGCATTTCATTTTGCTATGATCCACCATTCGCAAGTTTCTGCGGGCTTCATCACTTCTGTAGAACGTTTTGGAGTGTTATTGATTGCTCCTTATGTATGTGTAGGTGAGGCAATCGTCTGATGAAACTACGTACTGGTTTGGTATCCCTAGTATTGGCCTACTTCTAAAGAGTCTAACACAGGTAATGTGAACCGCGTTTAGCATACCTATTGACGTTTTATGAGTACATAGAGATCTCGGTTCTTTGAGAACTAGTAAATCTGAGTTTGTTTCCCTGTGGCTTGTTGCACGTGATCCTATGAGTGGCCTAATTTTAAGCCAGGTCCGCATATTTACCCAATTTCTGTGTTTGCACCAGGGTCGTAAAGAACTTACGTCATTTCTGGCACGTCGGAGGTATAAAGAGATGATTCAAGCTGTACTGGAGAAGAAAAGGTTGAGAACCTCACAGTTCGACATGAGGTTTCATATTCGCGACCTCCTTGGTTCTGGACATATATACTCAATAAGTACGCCAGTTGGCCCCTTGATTAGACTTTCACATGATTAGAGCTCATTACAGCAACACATTCGTTCGACATCCCTTGTGAAGGCACTTTAACATTCGATACCTCCAGAGAGCAGCCTACAAGTTCCCCATGAAATTGTGAACTGGCGCACTATCTTATCACTCTGCGTGTGAACCATGTAAAAGTTTGTGCTGAAGGATCAGAACAAACTCGTAGGATTGTGGGCAGGACTGATCTCTGAGGAATATCTTTCATTCATTATATTGGATCTGCATGTCTGGTGCTTAACATCACCATGATCCAACATGAAGTACCCTTGGACTTCAACGACATTGTTCTATATTCATTGAGTAACTAAAATCACTCCATCATTGTTGGGAAAAGGGACGAGCTAGTTTGTAGCCTACCCAAAGCGGTAGAAAAGTCCTTTCATGTGGTTGAAATAAATCATGGATGGAATACATCAGGCCATTCTCAAGTTACGAGTACTTGTTTACGTTGGTAGTTCAGGAATGTTGTAAGTTTGTGGGTTTTGGTCGTAAGATTTATCAATTACAGTATGTTGTACACATGGAGAGGTTTTGCTTTGTTTTTGTACATTTATATTCACAAATGAGTCTGAATGTACACTCAAAGTAAACATTATAAAGTCCTTTCATGTGGTTGAAATAAATCATGGATGGAATACATCAGGCCATTCTCAAGTTACGAGTACTTGTTTACGTTGGTAGTTCAGCAATGTTGTAAGTTTGTGGGTTTTGGTCGTAAGATTTATCAATTACAGTATGTTGTACACATGGAGAGGTTTTGTTTTGTTTTTGTACATTTATATTCACAAATGAGTCTGAATGTACACTCAAAGTAAACATTATAAAGTCCTTTCATGTGGTTGAAATAAATCATGGATGGAATACATCAGGCCATTCTCAAGTTACGAGTACTTGTTTACGTTGGTAGTTCAGCAATGTTGTAAGTTTGTGGGTTTTGGTCGTAAGATTTATCAATTACAGTATGTTGTACACATGGAGAGGTTTTGTTTTGTTTTTGTACATCTATATTCACAAATGAGTCTGAACTATCTTGGATGCAATAGGCTTTCAATCTGGATGTACATTCAAAGTAAACATTGTAGCTATTTATGGTGCAATAAGACGCAGTGACTGGAGAGATGTTCCATACCGAGAATTATTGTTGTGCAAGTAGCGTTTGTGTGTATTTGTATGTGTATACTAGGCATTTGTAGTTTTTATTCAGAATTTGTCTTACCTTCTAACAAATAACACTACGATATTTATCTTCCAAAAATTTGGTAAGATATTGATTATCCCATTGATATCTCATGAAATTTTGAGCTTATTTATAACTTGATCAAATAGATATATATCTTAGACTAATGTATCATATGCGAGAGAGGAAATGTAAGGAGTATAATATCATTCAAGTTTGCATTATAATTATTTCAACCAATAATTGGGTTTTTCTAACTCTTTTGATATTATTATTTTAGAGAACTGTAGTCAAAAAAAAAATTTAAACCTTGATGATTTTAGACTGTATGTTGCATAATAATTATATATTTCATGTTCTTCAATTCAGATCTTTAGCTTCAATATTAAACCTGGGTATATAAGAATAAATTCCATTTACAATTTTATTTGGTAAGGTGTAAGTATGTGTATATTTTATACCACTTGTTTTATTCGAATTTCATAGTGTTACGTTGCAAAATATAAATATTACATTATTGTTGTCATTAGCAGAAATTGAATTTCTCTATGGTTAAAAAAATGGATGTAAAAATATATATTACTACCTTGAAATATCAGCAATAATTGATATAATATTGATCATTGAAAAAATAGCAATATCATTGTTTAATTATGATTTGTTTTTTTTAAAAAAATCTGTTAAGTGCATCTAAAACAATAAAGAAATTCTGATCAACAATCATATTTATAGAGTGTTTTTATATATATGAAAATCTATGTGTTGCCGATAACCATTTCCACAAGACTTAGAATATCATTCAAAGCTCCAAACTTGAAAGTAATAACACTCGGAGAGAAAAATCTGGATGTGATAACACTCAAATCAAAAAAATTGAAAGTAATATTGATACCAGAACAATTGATACTGACGAAAGAGAGGTAATATGATGCGACATTCTCTATTTATTCTGTTAGGACGCTATTGAAAAATTCTAAAGTTGATAACAACTCCCACTTGCTAAGATTCCGCATCTACTCCAAGTTGGAAAAAGTTCGCACCAATACTGCTATTCTCACGTCTGCGACATCATTCCCTTCAAGCAACTAGATCTCACAAGTTGTTGAATTTATCTTATCAAAAACTAAAAATCTATTATAAAACGTTCATGTGATATTTACATGCTTGCAATCTAGTTTGGTGGTAATGTTCCATACGTGTTGGATTCAAATATCTTTCACATTTGGCTTTGTTGAGTATTCATAATTAAAGTTTTTTAATGTGAATTGAACGTTAGCAAGATTAGCAGTAGGTTTTCAAGTTCATTCACTTATTTCAATGTACAAGATCTTCTAATCTCCATCAATTCATGCAAAAGTAGCTAATGTTAGAAATTTCATATATTCTTTTTGCATTAATCTTGATTGATGGCGGAGATGCGGGCATGAAATAGTCATGGATAGTAAATTTATAGTACAATTCAAGCAAAGAAACATGGAAAATTAGATAAATTTCATCAATGATGGCAAGTTCAATTTTCATGCTACCTTGTTGACTTGTTTATTCACGCAACAAGGTCCATGATAACAAACATCAAGTCAGATGCTTGCTTGGTGAGTCTTCAAATTGTGATGCAAAAGTCAAACTTTGTCTTCAATTGATGTTTGGATTTTGCTTTTGAGATTAGTCTGCATTTTTTTTCTACTGCTCTTGGGCTTATACAAACCTTGACTTCATGTCTTTGTGTTACTCCAAAAATCTATAATTAGATCTTGCACAACCAAATTTTTTTCCAAACTCAAGTTCAAATAATCAAATCGTGAATGACATCTGTAGTTTGACAAGAACAAAATTGGTGGATGTACTTTTGAAATATATTGTTATAGTCAAACTTTGTGAAAAGAAGTGAATCCATCCAATTGTCTTCATGTTAGTTGATGAATCAAATTAAATTTTTCTCTAACATTTTATTCATTTGTTTGATTTGTTCATTCATTTGAGTATGATAAGTTGATGATAGATTCATCTTTATTTGTACTTGATCTTAAACAAAAATACTCAAAATTTGGATTGTGAATTGCGTATTACAATCAGAGATGATGTTGTCAAAAAGTTCATGATATTTGTATACATTTTCCAAGAAAAGTTGTGACGTTTTTTTATCAATGATAGTTTTGTTACAAGATACAAGGTGAGTCAAACAATCTACCACAATAAAAATCAAATCAAAAGATTTGTACTTTAGAAGGTTGACAATGAAATTCATGGAGGTGTATGTACTTGAAGTTTTTCAAATTGAAAACGGTTGAAGTAACTTGTATGATCTATAATAAACTATCTTGGATCTAAAACATGTAGAGACGTATTTTAAAGATTTTTCACATTGTGTCCATCAAAAGAATATGGATATTAGCTTCATAATTTTGTTGTAACCAAAATATTACTATTAATGAATACTCGTCTTGAAATTCAAATATTTAGAATTGAATTTATCTTAGAGAAAAAAAGTAATCCCTGGTAATATAACAATCCATTTTGAAAGAGTAATATGAAATTAGTATTATACGATTCAAAATTCCATGAACTAGAAGTAGGTTAATTCGGATATTCGAAAACTATAATTTTTGAGCATGGATTTGAAAATTCTCTAGGATTGAAGATGCTAGCATTAATTTTTAATTTCAAGATCAAAGTATCAAAACACAAACTTACTTGGAAATCTTAGAAAAAAGATACATTCACGGAAGTTGTGGAGAGTACAATCTTTAATTGAAAATGTGCATGTTTGATATGTATAGTCTTTTGTTGGTTGTAAGTTGCATTTTCTTTCTTATATGTAAGATACACTCGTTTGAAAAGAGTATCAGACCACATTTTCTTGGAATTAGGATGATTGGTGATGATAAAGTTGAAGCGCATAAGCAATATATTCCAACATGCTTGTCATTGATTTAGTACCTTGACAGACATGAAGTACTCCATGAATATGTGATAGTGTAGATCGTGACAGGATTTTGAACTTCTTCAAAAAAATGACATCACTCTTGAAACGAGTCAACAATGACTAAGAGCTTCTTGTCGTGGATCTCATAATTGAAATCAGTAGCACTATATTTACTTGAATGAAACACAAGAAAATCGAGACATTCATTGTTGTCAGTTTTTGAAAGTACAGTTTTTGAAAGGACAAACTCAAAAACATCCACTTCTAGAAAAAAACGGCTTTTAGAATTCAGAATGCATCAAAATATGTGTGATTGTAGACGTAATCTTTAAAGTTTCAAATGCTTGATGTGTTTCCATATTTTACTCAAGCTTGTCTTTGTCAATCAATTGGATCAACGGAGGAGCAATTTTGGAATAGATTTGATAGATTGCGCAAAACTGAGGAAACACTCTACGTGTCAAAACAATAATATGTTTTTTCCAATCAATTAATGTTCAAATCTTCTTTAGATTTATGAATATACCTTCTCCAAATATGATGTAATCCAAGAATTTGATCTAGAGTTGGTGAAAACGCAGTACACTAACTTGATGTATAATCGAGTAGTGCACATCAACCATGTCAGATTAGTATCTGACATGATTGATGTGCTCCTCTACGTTCTTAGAGAAAATCAATATGTCGTCAAAATAACAAACAACAAAATCATCTAAAATTTTGAAAATACGTTATTCATCAAATGTTAGATGATGACAAGTGCGTTGGTTGATCAAAAGGTATCACATTGTATTCAAAGTATCCATACCTAGTTTGAAACGTTGTTTTTCGTCACTTTTCTTTCTTGATACATACTAGTTTGTACGTTTCACACAGATGAATCTTGATGTGAATCTTTGCTTGACGGAGTTGGTCAAGAAGTTTTGAAATAAACGGCAATGGATATTGATTCTTGTTGTTGAATTTATTTAGTCCATGATAATCCACACACATCTGAAAGTAGACGTCTTTCTTCTTCACAAATAGAATAGATACTTCATGAAGTGACTTGAAATGGCGAATGAATTTCTTTGTAAGATTATCATCGAGGAAATATTACAATGCAACAAGCTCGTTGTATGAAACTATTGTGAAACTAATCAAAGTTATGATATCTTATAATAAACAAACAATATTTTTTAAAAAAATTTATGAGGTAGATAATATTTAGAAGAAATAAAGTTGTTGGTCAAAATGCAAGCATCAAATTTCTTGAGTTACATATGACAAGGGGAGAAAACAATAATTTTGAAATAAAAAATTTCAGACTGTAGATATGTTGAAAAGTATCAACACAATCAAAGAATTGTGGTTTTTAAATAAGTTTCTATATCACATAAACTATAGATATCTATTGGAATTGATTGTATTATCATTATACAACAAAGAGAAAAAAATTGTTAAGTATGTGCATGAATTTGTTAGTATTAATTCAAGTTTTGATTGTTCACATGAAAGAGAAAAAGAAATGCTCGAAATACTTTGAACCAAATCCAATCTATGAGTCATATGATGCAGTTATTCGATATAGCCACCATACATGTATTATCAAAGTTATTGAGAGTGGCGCTCTCGCTTTTACATGTTGTCTCTATTGATGAAATTAACAATCACAAAAACTAGATCTGTTGTTACATAAGTTATGCCACACATCCATGGAGTACGGGAATCAAGAAAGAGGTACGCCTTTACGTAATTTGGCATTTGTTTTAGTTGAGATGAAGAGTATACCTGAAAGCTATCCCTTAGATTTTGGTCATGCCTAGATCTCACCAAGAACCCATACTTTACACATTCGTCCAAAGTTTCTCCTTCGATTATCAGGAAAGCAAATAAAACAATTCATAAGCATCAGAGTATCTATCAACAATATCGACAAGCCCAATCCTTTTTCTACTGTCAGCATCACTTTTACTTTTTAAGAAATACAAACGCGTGCCATTACAAAACATGAGGATTTCTAAGTGGCGCTTGGAGGTGGGTTGGAGACACAAGTCAAACAAACAAGACCTTAGACACATATAGGTACAATGCGAGTTGCAAGCAAAAGCTTGCATATCACATCACCCCTTGAGCGACGAGAAAAAAAAGGATGAATGGCTAGAATTCTATCGACGTCGATTGGTCAACACAGCGGGATACATGCTCCTCTGTGTACAGACTCTGAATATACATTGTCGAATTTGACGTGTTTCCGTGACTCTGAAATTACAAGTTTGTCGTCCAAATGCATTTTATTTACATCATCACCCCTCGATGTTCTGCCTTGGCCAAGGTCGTGCACCCATGATCTCGATAATTCCAGTTTGCAAGTAGGAAGGAAGGAAGGTCAATCGTTGGGGGCTATCCGTACGCGTGGTGTAGATGTGTGAGTGGGCCCCATTGGCACCCCTTTGAACGGAGCGAACATCTTCTGCGACTGCAGTCGAAGAGATATTTTCCAATTAGTGGTCATGAATATACTGCGATAGCATCTGGAATCTGCCTTCTATTTTTCTTTCGATCACACAAAAGTGAATAGTCTTCGTGCACTTTCGAGCCTATCGTAGGGACTTTTCCCGAAGAATTTTTCGAAAGAGAAATGGTCGGCTTTCAGTAAGCACCGTGGTCCTATGAACGGCGACCTCACTGGCCCAATGAAAAAAAATCCCATTTTTCCACCGGACTGGATAACATCGCTGCGTGGCGAGGTGCTACGATGGTCAATTAAGCAATGAGAGATGTGACATTCCGCTAATTACCAAACTCTGAACTCCGACCCGACGATGGAGGCGTCGACCTGAGAGCCCAGACGATCAGGTGCAGCTTGTGTACTCCCTGACAAGTCCTCGCCGTCCGATGAATAGTCAACCCGATGGGCTTTAGCTCTCGATTGGTGGTAATACATATATGTCCGTCTTATCTGCACTGGTTGGTCGCTTTCTTACCATCGGATGTGGCCCACTGATGATATCTGGATCCGATTCGTACATCATCAGGCATTCGAGCTCGAACCGCCTGATGCACGACCCAGATATTGAAGATTTTTACGGGCGTGGTTTAACTCCCCCTTCCATCGAAATCAATACTGCGAGGTGAGGTGCAGTAACAAAGCACCTGGAAAGGATAGGCCTACCTGCAAAAGGTGTCAGGATGAAAAATCCTCCATTCGTTCTGGGAGTCACGGTGCGATGGAAGATGCCTATCAGCTTTAAATTTTATCGAGGACAATATGCGTGTTCTCATTCTCAGCTGCTCACGAGCAGCGTCCGTGGCTCTCTCGAACCCTCTTGCAGAATATCTGTGTTCCCTCCTGCCTGCAGCTTCGTCTTCCCTTGCAAGGAAGCATTTCTCTAAGGCCGGGATATCTGCGAGAGGGTTCGCCGGGCTGCGTACGAAGGCTTAGGCTGTGCAGGGAAGCAGATACAGAGCCGAAATCCGACAGCAGAACACGAAGCAAGCGGTCACGATGCAGGCCTGTGCCCAAGTTGCCTTCTTGCCTTCGTGTTCTTTGGTGGCTGGCACACCTGCCAACAGTGTGCAAAACCACCAAGTCTCTGGTAGCCGATATGCAGCAGTCGCTCCTTCCAAGCATCAATTAGACTGCTCATGGAGTTTGAGAGGGATCACTCTTCTTGATAGGAGCAAAGTTACCTCAAGTCCAGCTCAGTCGAGGAGGAACTTCATAAGAGCCGCAACTGGAGAATCAGCAACTACTTCGAGCTCCGTCAAAGCCCCGGTTCTGCCAGGAATCGGAAGTGTACCAAAGGACAGAGTTAAGCACATCACGACGGTAGAAGAGTTCGACGAGGCGCTCAGATTAGCCAAAAACAAGCTTGTGGTTGTGGAGTATGCTGCCACTCACAGTGCTAACAGTCGCAAAATCTACCCCGCCATGGTGGAGCTCAGCAAATCCTGTCAGGATGTTGTTTTCCTGTTGGTTCTCGGAGACGAGACTGAAGGCACCAAAGAGCTGTGCGACCGAGCTGGTGTAGAGACTGTACCCCACTTTGTATTCTATAGGAACCAGGAGAAAATCCACGAAGAGAAGGGAGTTAGCGCCGACACCCTAGAGGGCGATGTGCTGTACTATGGAGATATCAATGCGCCCATCCATCAGGTCAAGACGAAACAGGATTTCGATATTCTGCTCAAGGAGCATGCGTCGGACAGCAAGCTGGTGGTAATTGATATTGGACTGAAGAGCTGCGGGCCTTGTGTAAAAGTGTACCCGACGGTGGTCAAGCTGGCCAAGAAGTTATCCGATAGCACCATCTTTGCCCGCATGCACGGTGATGAGAATGAGGACTGCATGGACCTCCTCCGATCCATGGATGTTGTGGAAGTGCCGACCTTCCTTTTCATTCGAGACGGCAAGCCGCTCGGTCGCTATGTGGGTTCCGGCAAAGGGGAGCTGATTGGAGAAATTCTTAGATACAATGGCGTCCGAGTGACCTACTAATTGAACTGATTGTGTGACCCAATCATTATACTCTTACGAGCTGCATTCTCTTATTCAATGCCGCTTGCTTCTGCTCTTCTATAAAGGTTACCATCTTTAGAACTTGAAATAGATTTGGAATGTTTTAGTTCTCGCGTATCTCCTCTTTCGCCTCGATGCTTTCCGTTAACAAGTCTGCACAGGGTTGTGAAAGTCCTCTTTTGACGTTCGTCGCATACAGAGAGCTGGATGGTATTCTACTCCCATGTTCAGCTCCGAGCCCGTGCTTATCTTTAGACAGGATAGAGCAAGAGGTGAGAAGCTCTTAAGATTGCTCCGAGGAGCACGCTTCAATGCAGTACCCAAATGAGATGTAACCAATTCTTCACTTTTGAAGGCCGTGATCTGGCAGTCTAAGACATTCTTACTACGAAATCTCCAAGATTTTCCCTTATCTAAGATATTGGCCCACAGGAGATTCTGAAATCTTCCACCCGCTTCGTTGTGCTGTTCCTTGTATCATGGATGGCCTTCCGTGTGTTTGGGAAGTATGATTGCCCTCACTTATCAGTCACGTAATGTTCTACAATCATGCGCTATCCGGGGAAAGGCTAAATCTAATTTACAGCAAGAAGTGTCCTTTTCAGCGACTACGCTAGTCTCATCTTTTGACATCCCATGGTTGGTTCATGGTCCTCGCAGACACTTATGCCAAGAATCTGATGTTCACGCTGATCGTGGTTCAACAAACTTGACCACCGTCAAGCTTGAATCATTTTAATATCTTCTGCATCTTAATTGCGCTAGGAGTGAACATGCTCCACCCACAAGTCCGAAATGAGGAGTGTGGAAAGAAAAAGTGAGGCTCCGACAATATTTTCTTTAAGAAAATAGTACATGATTGTCAGTCATTTAAGTGTTAACTTGTTATGACCAACTCTTCTTGCTCTACAAAGCAACAGCAAGAAGAAACTGGGCAGGAAAATATGATTTAAGTTTGAGTGTACCCTGTCCTGTATCTAATGCATAAACTCTTCGTTTTAGATGACACGTCCATGTCCACAAGAGAACGTAGTCTCATGTACGTAGGCATGCATACTGCACCTTCAAAATGCTCCTGGTCTACATACCCAGTAAAGCTGAGATGTTACGAATACAGAAACCTGCAAATATAATGTTCACGATGCTTTTACGTCAAACTATCGACTCAAACTTCCCAGTCCACACCATTCGTGGCAAAGTCGTGCAGCATAGCACCTGGACAAGGTAAAATCAAGAAACTACACACTGGCTGGATAAGACGGCCAATGCACACAGAGCACCACAAGGAAGGCAACCACAAACAGCACGGTATCAGACTCTGTAAAATACGAGCCGAAACGTAGAGATAGATACACAAAAATTGGTATGTATACATAACCCACGGAGATTATTTGCAGCAATTTGAGAGTACAAATTTGAAGTACTGATTTAAAAAACACAAGTACTTCAAAAACTGTTCTGATCATAAATAAGCAAAACTGGAGGACTGGCATACAAAGGCGTGAACATTTGAAACTGCGAAGTCTATAAAAACGGGAGTTTTATTGTTTCTTCTTGGATTCAACTTTGGCCTTCTTCTCGGCGGGTGTTGCAGCGGCAGCAGTAGCAGCAGGAGTAGCAGTAGCAGTAGCAGGGGCTTTTTTCGGATCTGGAGGCAATGTGAAGAAATTCTGGAAGTTAATCCACCCGAGAGAACAAATGAAAGCCAAAAAGTACATTGGCAGTGCGACGACATCTGATCTTCTCCCACCATCTTGGTAAATGTACCACAGTACAAGGAGAATTCCCCACATGCTGTACTTATTTGGACCTGCGATGGAGAAGAATCCCCCCATCAAACATATTATACAAGCTCCAACAAACTCCCAATTTAGGGTTTTGCCGTTCTTTTCGAACATCGTCAGCATATTCGGTATTATGGTGAACTCGAAATTATCTCCATCACCATCTTTCTCCACCATGTCCGAGGTCAGATTCCAGGTCGTAAGAATCTGGTCCCATTGAGGAAGTGAAAAATTTTGCGGGTCAGCGGTCATGAGCACTTCCATTTTCATCATCGTTGAAGCTGGGTACAGGATCCCTTTGATCACATCTTCCGAAGCTAGATTCTTGACGTAAGCATGGGTTGCAACCACATCAAGGGGACTCGTGCAATTACCCTTGGGACAAGGAACACTGCAATATCAATTTAAAAATGTCTTCAGTAAATGCATTTTGAAAAGTCAGTCGAAAACGCAAGTACAATTAAATTGTAACGTACTGAGAGTTGACAGCTTGACAACAAATTGATGATACACCAAATTCAAACTAGAATTCACACACGGGTCATGGTCAATTCACACAATCTTACAAAGATATGAGAAATGATCTTGTTGTATCCAACAATTGTCTCGGACAACTATTTGTGAAGAAAAAATGGTGACCATTGAGCCAAATTCAACTATTTATCTCTTTCAGTATGATAGAGCTTCAAGTTTGGAAGTTTAGAGTAACTACAGCACATAGCCATGAGGTGGTTTACACGCAAACGATATGATTACAAGATTACAAACTGTAGCTCTAGATTGAAGTAGACTGAAAGAGAAAGAGTGATCCCATCAACTAAAAAAGCGAGAATTCATGAATCCCTAACAATTGCAATCAGATCGATCAGTGGAGACGGAAAGATATCGCCACCGACTCTAGAGTGACTATGTTGACACAAACAAACACGCTCATCCATTCGATATATAGAAGAATGGTGATTCTGCAAAAATCGAGACTGAAACCAAAATAAGAGTCACCTGAAAATAGGAAAGCCAAACATCATGATAAGGCAATAAAATTGAGATGCTCGTTGCTGCCATCCTGAAAGTGCTGGTGGCGAGGCTGTTTTTTTGGTCGCAGGCATGACTGCTCTCCTCTCTAGACAACGCCGGAGCACTTATAAACACACCATAACAGCACGGCCGACCTCGACCTTACTTCTCACTCAGCTGCATCGCTCAACCGGAAACTGAAGGAAGCGGAATCAAGCTAGGCCCTTGAACCCTGCGACGATGCAGTGAAGGCAGCAAATTCGATCACTCCAGAAGCAGAGGAAAGGACCTGGTCAACCTCTGGAATGAGATCACAGAGCGCCAGCCAACAACGACAATGTCCACCTTGGAGACTATAGCTGCTTAGAAAGCACTGTACTGCCTTTTCTTCCACAGACTTCTCTAAACCTTCATCCCCCACAAATCTGCACTGATTTGTTCACCTCCCACTTCGCCAACCTTCTACTCATCTCGCACGAGGTCAGCTCAACACCGACAAACCAAAGTCTCACGACACGACCAGACCACAGATCCCGCGGTTTCGGAACTTTGGGTCGCCCTGCCCTTCTTCGACTATGGTACAGTACCGTAAAGTAAGTACTCTAGACTTCCGTTAGTCTTCAGACCAACCTGCGTAGGCACTAAATCGTTGTCACTGGCGATAGGCTTGGAAGAAATTGCATCCAGTGAGGGGCTGGAATTAAAGATGTTATCAGCCAACTTCGTCTCGGTTATATTCAACCTCTCCAATATAAATCAGTGCTCACTTATATAGATATCCTTTTTTCGAAAAAAAAATTGGTCTCTGCTAGTTAGGAATTAGTTATCTGTTGTAGTCCACACAACTAATGTTTTCTACTAATCTAGATGGGTGTGTATTCAAAGAATGAGTGAATACTAATCAGTAAGTACTATACTGATTTTGAAGAAAGTATAATTCTATTACGATGCGCGATGTGCTGCATCGTACACTTCTCCATCCAATCATGATCACTCGATTGTGCTTCATACCGTGTTTAGAAGTGGAGACGACAAGGAGCTGCTGGTTTGTTTTTTTTTTCAATGTATTTTCCTGCTAGGGATACATAAGTGGAGTCTTACCATCCTTTTTCTTATATTACTCGGTGCCCAGTTCGCTGCAATGACATGCAGTGGGAATGGTAGGAACCGGGGTGTCAACTTTGAAAGGCCAGGTTAGAGGCCAATATTTTACTCCAAAGCAGCACCTAGCCAGACCATAACCATCAGCAGCGACCTATGCCCACCTATAGCATTACCTGTGCCCACCCATGTTATTCAATTTACGTCAATTGTGTTATGTGTATTAACCTGTTACACCTATTCTTGGTTGGATCTTGACAATTGCTGCCCTTAGCATTACTTGTGCCCACCCATGGAAAAAAAATGTCACCCAAAACCCATGGGCATGGGTGGGTTTGGGCGTGGGCACCCAATGTTGGGCTCTGGTACGGGTACATGACTGCCTCCACATCCACCCTCACAATTGCGGATTCACACCAAAGACTTCATTCACACCAAAAAACTCTGACCAGTGCGTACTGGTACATATAGTCAGTGGAGCAATTTACAACCTATGGGTGGCTAAGTGTGTACTAAAGAGGTTTTCGGTTACAGGGAAGACATGCATAGAGAGACATCATATCACAATATTTTCGATTGGACTTCTTTCTTCCATTATTTAGTGTATATTAGACTCAAATATTTAGATAGGAGTGAGAAACATATCTTAGTAGATATACCTTCATTGGTGTGTGAGCCTACTTATCTATCAGAACGTGGATTGAATAAAATTTCAGCACAGTGTTTGCCATTTCCAATCCGAATTCAGGTAACTCCTTCTAGTTTAATGGAATTCCAAGAAATTGGGTTGATATAGAATCAGAAACATAGTAGTCATTTGACTTGACACATAAAACGTCACCAGGGAGCTTGATGAAGTCAAATGTTTGGTTAGTGTAATTTTGCAATGTATGGACATTGAAATTTAATTAGTCATATTAAACAAGTATCTTACAATTTTGGATTGTCAAAAAAATAATGTTTTACAAATTTTATTTTATTTTCTTCACATGGAAATGAGTTTTTGTAGAACAAAAACTTCCGCAATATTCACTAAATTTAGTATGTGTGTTATAAACATACGCATGACTCTGAACTCATGATTCATATGATTTTACAATGAGAAAAATTGATAGATTCAGGCTCAAATTTATGTGTATAAAATTTAATTAGATTATTTGTCAGAATTATATTGTGAGACAAACATCACGGATTGTGATAAATACCTTTAGATACTAATTGAAATCAATTGAGTAAATACGTATGAAAACAATTCAGATTCACAGAGTTGTATAAGCTGGATAGGTATAAAAATGAGTTTGTATGTATTATACAATCAAAATTTAAATATAAATATAAAATTTTTAATATGATTGAATGACCTATCATAAATATAAATTTTATGTATACATTCACATTGTAAAAATCACAATATACCTTTATTCATGTAAAGGTATATATAGGTTTATTTATAGGTTATATATAAAGAAATTATAAAAAATTAAGTTTTTTTTCAGAAAAACACAAAAAATAATACTTTTTTACAGGATTGGACATGAATATATTAAAATTTTAATTTACATCATCCATAAGAATACATATAAACTCAGAAAATTCTATAATATACCATAAAGCTAAAATTTACCATCATAAAAAATTGAGTTTGTGTTATTGCAATTTAATTTGGATCTTCTGAAAAAACTTAGAGTATGATATTTTCAAATAGATTATTTTAAGTTCGTATCTTTAAAAATGTAAACCCAAGAAATAATTATTATGATGTATAAATACATAATAATAATTCTTAAGTGAATTTTTAAAATTTATTGAATATCATAATATCAAAAAGTCAGTGTTAAATCAGTGATGAGATTATTGTCAGCAGAAACATGCCAAACTCATATCCACCTTAATATATTTGAATTATAAGAATTTTTAGAGTATACTTTTGAAAATTTAAATGTGATAAATGTTTATATATATTACTAAAACATTTCTTGATGTAAAAAATATATGTGTTAATAGATAGTAACAGATTACACATAAAAAGAAATTTTAAAAAATGCTAATAATCATGTTTAGTAAATTTAATTACATATTATACATGTTATTTTATGAAATAAATGATTTTTCAGACTTAATTATGATTAATTTAGAGTTAGGTTTAGTTTAGGTTGGAGTTTCCAAAAAAAATATTTATCATATCAGAAATTATGTTTTTAAATAGTCTTATAATTTATATTTAAAAATTTAGAAGAATAATTGTAAGAATGAGTGTACAATATCAATTATCATGATGATTTTAAATCATGTAAAATCCGAACTTTACAATCAATGTAAAAATAAACTTGCTTTACTAAAATCATGCACATTGAAGAATTTACATTTGAGAAAAAAAATTAATTCTTAAATGCCTTTATTTTTACTTATGCAATGATGAAGATTTGTGTGACAATTGGATAGTAGCTTTTGAGTTTACAGTTTAAAAATAAAAATTTAACCATGATACAATTTGCGATTCGCAGAAATGAAAAACTATCAAACATCAATCATATATCAAAGAATCTTCTGATTTTAATATACCATTCCAAATTATAATTTAATCTTTTGAGAAATATGAAAATTTTATGTTTAGCATGTATTGAAAAGTTTTCTATTTATCTATATTCAACTATTATTGGTATAAAATGAGTTTAGCAAATATCATTTTCATATATTCACATTATAATTTATAAGTACAACAGAGTTTTTCTTATAACTAATTGAAATTTATTCGAAATTAATGATCATGATAAAATTTAAAATTCAATGTTATGCTCATCATCAAAAGTTTTAAGTTATAATTTTTCCGTTTTTATATTTGATTTTTTTAAGATTTCATGTTTTCATTTCACTTTTCTATGTTATCATTTCAAAAGTGTTATTTTTAATTTTATTTAATTTTCACATATAATTAAATTAATTTATCTGTAAACTTTTATTTAAAATTTTTATTGAAATGGTAAAATAAAAAAAATCCTATAATTTTTAGACTATGACGTTTTAAGATTTCTTTGTATCGTTTTTGCTGATGAAAATTTATGCATGATATGATTACTTTAAACTTCAATTTTTCAAAATTTGATATATGACATAAGAATCAAATCGAGATGTATAATAACAAGCATTTTGAATGAGGTCAATATGGTAGGTAGGAAAATCACTTGACTGAAGCTACATCCATGGTATCATCAAATTATAAATATTGCAATGAAGTATATATATATACACACACATATACATACAAGTTACATACTTGTATATATATATATATATATATATATACAAGTTAGATTTTACTTAAAAACCATGTTTCCAATAAAAATGTAAAGTGATATGTGTGATTACACGTTGTTGCATACTCTCGACTATTTTTCGTTTGAGATTGAAAGTGTTTTATTCAATGAAGCCAACATATATAAAAAACTTAAAATAGTCATACAAATATATTTACTTATGAGTTAAAGTTATTTATTATGATATTCTAAATAGTAACAAACTAATCATGATGAATAAAAAGTGGAGAAAAATTAATTAGAGACAAAAAAAGTTCAAAAAATTGATACCCAGGCAAATTTTAAGACAATTCAGCAAATGAAAATAAAACAGAGTTATTGACAAAAAAATATCATTTAGATTCTTGAAAGATTTTACGAATGGATTTATTCAACTAAGTATGAAGATAATAAATTTTGTAATGATAATGAGCTGAACTTTAGTAATTTAAAAAAGTCCATTTTATTCAGAAAATGAGTAAAAAACTTTTTGAATAAGTTGATTGTAACACAATAAAGTAAAATAAGATGCTATAATTGATTGATATAAGAGTTTTAAATTTAGGGTTGTTACATATAAATCAGTGAATAGTAAGTGGATCTATTAACAGAAATATGTGTGTTCATCTATGGAATATTGAAAATTAAAAACTTTAAAAAATTCAAATAAAAAAGTGTGAAATTTATTAAAAATTTGAATATTTTGAAATCCTAAGTATGTATTTTTCTTATGATTTCCATTTTTTCCTTTCAAAATGAATATATTATATCACAATTTAATCTTTTAATAACAAAAACAACCTTCAGGAATCACTTTATAGATATTTCTAAGAAAAATCGAAGTATAAATATGGTATTTATGTATTGGAATAGTTACATGAATTGGAGCAAGTTGATAGAAAATAAAGTTTCATATATTACTTTAAAATTAAATATATTAAATTTACTTTATTAAAATATATTATACTTACTTTAAAATTTCATAAATTTTTGTGTGGCAAATGCACTTAAATTTGTTTATGTTTTAAGAAAAAATAATTTTTTGTAGAAAGTAATATATATTTTTTGATTTCTACTAGGTTTTTATTGGATTTGATTCTATAAATGTCATAATGGAGAAAAAATATGAAATTTGAAAAAAA